GGAAAAAAGTATAAATTTTGATTTAAATCTTTCGTGACTGCAGTAATAGGAAAAGTATTTGATCCCCATTTACCCACTGACAAAGAAATGATCAGTCTATAATTTTAATGGTAGGTTTATTTGAACAGTGAGAGACAGAATAACAACAAAAAATCCAGAAAAACGCATGTCAAAAATGTTAGAAATTGATTTGCATTATAATGAGGGAAATAAGTATTTGACCCCTCTGCAAAACATGACTTAGTACTTGGTGGCAAAACACTTGTTGGCAATCACAGAGGTCAGACGTTTCTTGTAGTTGTCCACCAGGTTTGCACACATCTCAGGAGGGATTTTGTCCCACTCCTCTTTGCAGATCTTCTCCAAGTCATTAAGGTTTCGAGGCTGACGTTTGGCAACTCCATCGTCCCTTTGATGCGGTGAAGATGTCCTGTCCCCTTAGCAGAAAAACACCCCCAAAGCATAATGTTTCCACCTCCATGTTTGACGGTGGGGATGGTGTTCTTGGGGTCATAGGCAGCATTCCTCCTCCTCCAAACACGGCGAGTTGAGTTGATGCCAAAGAGCTCCATTTTGGTCTCATCTGACCACAACACTCTCACCCAGTTGTCCTCTGAATCATTCAGATGTTCATTGGCAAACTTCAGACGGGCATGTATATGTGCTTTCTTGAGCAGGGGGACCTTGCGGGCGCTGCAGGATTTCAGTCCTTTACGGCGTAGTGTGTTACCAATTGTTTTCTTGGTGACTCTGATCCCAGCTGCCTTGAGATCATTGACAAGATCCTCCCGTGTAGTTCTGGGCTGATTCCTCACAGTTCTCATGATCATTGAAACTCCACGAGGTGAGATCTTGCATGGAGCCCCAGGCCGAGGGAGATTGACAGTTCGTTTGTGTTTCTTCCATTTGCGAATAATCACAACAACTGTTGTCACCTTCTCACCAAGCTGCTTGGCAATGGTCTTGTAGCCCATTCCAGCCTTGTGTAGGTCTACAATCTTGTCCCTGACATCCTTGGAGAGCTCTTTGGTCTTGGCCATGGTGGAGAGTTTGGAATCTGATTGATTGATTGCTTCTGTGGACAGGCGTCTTTTATGCAGGTAACAAGCTGAGATTAGGAGCACTCCCTTTAAGAGTGTGCTCCTAATCTCAGCTCGTTACCTATATAAAAGACACCTGGGAGCCAGAAATATTTCTGATTGAGAGGGGGTCAAATACTTATTTCCTTCATTAAAATGCAAATCAATTTATAACATTTTTGACATGCGTTTTTCTGGATTTTCTTGTTGTTATTCTGTCTCTCACTGTTCAAATAAACCTACCGTTAAAATTATAGACTGATCATTTCTTTGTCAGTGGGCAAACGTACAAAATCAGCAGGGGATCAAATACATTTTTTCCCTCACTGTAAGCACTTGCGTTAGATTATTGGCACGCGTCATCTGCTGGAAATATAAATGGTGTGTCAGCATAGCAAGTGTGAGGCTGGGCCGGTGTTGGGTAGAGTGGGTGGGGTGCGATAGGGAATGACGGGGGTGGACTGGGCTATTTGGGGGAGAGAGAGAGAGGAGCATTGAGCCGTCACGGAAACCGTACGTCCCAAATTTCGATAATGATTTTTGCTAAATCGATTTTTTAAATGGCAAAAAGGGTGAACTAAAGTATCCACTTGCTTCAAAAGCACCCCGGCCCGTCATATCCAATTTTGTGATCCCACTGATTCGGCTACATTTCAACTTGTGCCACCGCTGCCAACGCAGGCAGCAGTAACATCATCATCAGCAGCAGCATCAAGATTATCATAATCAATAGCAGCATCATCATCAAGATCATCATGATCATGATCAACAGCCGCAGCATCATCATCATTATCAACTGCAGCATCATCATCAAGATCATCATCATCAACAGCAGAAGCATCATCAATATCATCAACATCATGATCAACATCTATTCTTTGGGTCTTTCGGTAAAGCCACGTAGATAGAAAAATAATAAAATAATAACAATATCACGACGTTTGGATCGCAACACAAGCAATCGTCATCAGGTGAAAAAATATAGCGGGAGAGCTGCTAAGGCAACGTCGTGATATTTTTATTTTTTTCTAGCTACGTGGCTTTGCCGAACGACACAAAGAATATCAATTCCTGCAGTCACGAAAGCTTTAAGTCAAAATCATGAACATCATCAAAATCATCATCAACATCATCAACATCATTGTAAACATCATCATTAAGATCATCGGCATCATCATCAACATAATTTACATCATCATCAACATCATGAACATCATCCTGAACATCATCATCAACATCAGCATCAACATCATCATCAACATCATCATCAGCATCATCATAAACATCATGAACAACAACATCAGCATCATCAACATCATCAACAGCAGCACACCAAATAACGAACCTGTTGTCATTTTTTTTTTTTTACAATAATCGCCCGCTGGATAATTGTTGGCATTGATGTGCCACTGTATGTTAGGGGCAGGAGGCGACTTGAACAGGTGAGGGAGGGTGGGAGGGGGCTTGAGACCCTTTGCTGGGTTCAGGTTACAGACACCAGGTGCGTCTCTCTCCCTCCCCCACCCCCCTCAATGTCAGCATCAGCAGGTGAGCCGGTCTCTCTTCTCTCCATCCCTCCGGTGTGTCTCTTTCCGTCGCATGAAACAAGAGCGGTTTAAAAGCTCCCATCTTCCTCGCTTTGATCCGTCGAATAAAATGAAAAGGGACTCCAAATGTACCGCATTCCGTAGTGTGGGGAATTTTGTGGGGCGGCGGCGGAGGGGGGGGGGGGTTGAGTTGTTTCATTTGTTGGCTTTTGTGAGGAAGACGCTCGGATATTGATCCGCTGCGATAATGGTTTTGTATGGAAGTGTGGCTAGTCTCCGCCAATTAGGGTTTCTTAACTAACCGAGAACGCCGTGAGTGCCTGCGTATTTATTTAACTGGAGATTAATAAAACTCAAACAACAACAAAATACCGTTGTTGTTGTTGTTATTGTTGTTATTATCGTCGTCTTGTGTCACGCACATTGTGAGTCATGGAGACATCTCAACCGTTACGCACGCACACGTGCGTGACCAATTGTGGACTGTGCGCACATTCACGTTGGGATCCCCAGTGCTGAGACGGTAATTACTGTCAGTCATTACGGTGAGCAATGTTATTATAAATCGTCCGTACGTTGAATGCCCACCTGGCAAACCGATTTGGGCTCACCGTGTCTGTCAATGCACGGCTTAAGAGGGAAGACTTGTTAGTAATAACATCATTGCAGTATCTGCATTCGTAAGGCGAACGTGAAATATACTACTTTTTACAAAATGGAAGAAAAAAACCCTAGCTAATGGACGAAATTTGTTAATGTTGAGGTTAAATAATAAGCATTTGTACTGCGATAAATGTAAACTTGTTTCGAATCTTAATTTTGACATTCGTGGAATTACACTGAAAGATATCACGGGGGAACATACTGTGGATCAGATAACATCATCAAGTTGGAGAGACTTCACATTGAGCGTTAATAAAGTTAAGCAGGCGAGGGCAAAACACATTTACAGGAGGTATTTTCTTTTATTTTAAACTAAACTGCTTTTTTTATTTGACCAGGTAAGGCCCAATGAGCTGTATAGCTCTTTTTCAGAAACGACCTGGCCACAAATGACAGCTCAACGAAGTGGCTTATCACGTGGAAATGTATAGCAGCGAAACACTCTAATCGCGTTATGTTGATGCTAAATGTGGAGGGAAAGACTGGAGGACCCGGATAAAAATCCACGCGACCACAGGGAAAGAGAAAACGCACACTTCAAATATACAGCAGGTGTCAGGGTCGGGATCGAACCCACGACCTCCTGTATACCGGGTGAGATAGTTAACATCTCCTAGCCACCGTGGCACTCCAAATGATGGCCAGCAGGAGATATTGGTGATCTGAATTGGCAACCGAAGGAGAGAACATGCCAGAGAGAGAACGACCACTACAGGGATAGAAGGATTAGAACAGTTCCTTTGAAGGACACCTTGAGGGATGGTGAAGACGTGCGGGAGACCATCATCCAGCAGTGGATGAACCATGGCTGATTCATGATATTCAGCCCTTTGTGAATCTACTACTGGATGAAAGCCTCCTGGGCGCCTTATGTTTGTGTTTAGTTTGTTGTCCTTCCCCCGCATCTCCGATTAGCACGATTGGCTACGTACGGTGTGAAAGAAGTTCACCATACGTACAATTCAACATGCATGAATTATCAGTCGCGGGAGTTGTTTGACCATACTTAATCGTACTATCTAGCGTGGGTTGGTGAAGGTCCAGATATCAAGACCGGTTAAATTTGAATTTGCCACAATGTAAGTATTTTCACTCAACCCTATGTCATCGACTCACTCCGTCTCTCTGGCCTCTCCGTGTGCTATGAAGAAGGCTCCCATTGCCCAATATGTCACCTGCATTTATGTTTTAATTTTTAGGGCCACAGTGCTGTTGAGAAATACTGAAGTGGCATTGTTCACTCTTGATTGTTCCGAGGCTCTGGTGAAAAATCCCAGATAAGCATGATGGGTACTCAAATTTGTTAAGATTTTGTTGTCGTTATGTATTAATTAGGTGGGGAAAATACATTGCATTACTTTAAGTTAACGAGGTGAACACACAACGCCTTGGTATTATTGTTTAATCTACGAGCTGGCGAGGTATTTAATCTACGAGCTGACGAGGTGATTCATCACCGGAATGCCAAATGTCTCATCAGTTCGCTTGAAGGGCATTGCAAGCGGATAGCAGCCGAGTTGCGAGGAGGCGGCACGTGGATTCCACAGAACCCAATTCGGTAATAACCGGCACCAGGTGAGGTTCCTCTCCGAACCCTCCGACTCCCTCCTCCTCCACCCCCACGTCACCCCCTGCCCTCCCCACCTTGCCTCCTCCCCCACCCTCCCTCCCACCGGCCAGGTAATAAAACCCTTCCGTTTACCCGACCACCTTGGGTCAGGCTCGTGACAGCTGAGCGGTGCTCCGAGACAAAGGGGCTCGAGGCGATAATGGGAGGCCGCACGCAGCTCTATCTCCTGCTGTGGAAGAACTTCGCCCTTCGCAAACGCCAGAAGGTACCACGGCGCGCGCTGCTGATGTGGTACGCAGCCACTTGCTGTTGCTGTCCAGCAAGTCCACCGTGGGCTCGTGTGTAACGATGGTCCCGTGTGTGGGGCCGGTAAAACCTGCGGCTCTTTGGCGTCTTCATCCCCCCCCCCCTCCTCTTTCGGCACTTTGGAAGCCGTTGTTTTTGTTGTTGTTTAAACTGAAATCTCAAAACCATAATTTGAACGGGAAGTGCAACAGATTTTAAATATGGCAGGCAAATGGTTCGCGACGGAATGTCTCGGTGACGACAAACCGTACAGTATTGTTTGAAAGAATAACTAAATGGGGGACGCACAAACTAAAGTGACCGCACTTCATTCCATCGCCGAGTCACAATGTGCGTCGTCACCTGCTCGCTGTGTCCGTGTACAAGTGGCTCTCCGCGTGTGTCTTGCGGCTCTCGGCACTGTGTTTGGCCAAAAAACACACGGACCCGACGCCAAAAAAATGCTGCTGCTCCTTCTTCTTGGAAGGTTTCCCCCAAACCCTAAGTGCAGTGCAATCCGCGGAACAATTCGGACGTTGGTTCCGACCGAGGTAGAGGAGCTTAAGTCGTAGCCGTAGTTTTAAAGGTTTAACAAGCAGTAGGCTGCCAGGACCAATATTACTACTAATAAAGGCTTTATGGGTGAGGTCGCGTCAGCATAAATCTGTCGTTAACCCACCACCACCCGGCACAGCCAATCAGTAAGATTTGTCACGTAAACGAAACGTGTCAATTAGTTGCTACTGCAGCACACCGTTGTGTTTCCGTAAAGCTCGCTAACAGCAGCGAGTGGCTTGATAGCCCGACTCATTCTGTGATGGTTATCACAGAAGTCACGATTATTGGCCACATCATAGACATTAGAACCAAACTGCAGTTCTAGCCACCCCGAGTGATGTTGACAATTGATACAGCGTAGGGCTTGTGGATTATTGTCATAAAACATACAAAAGCTCAGCGGGTGGGTGGGTGGATGTGGGGGGGGTCACGCTGTCCTTGTTTAACAAACTCTAAACAAACGCGAATCTTGCCGCAGGATGAGTTGCCGAGATGACGCCGCCGTCTCGCGTTTTGCTGCGTGCATCTGACAAAACTGCCGAAAGAAAGCCCCCTCACTTCGTGTGGGATGGAGATTGTACCAACATGTTCTTGGCTTGATTACAAAAATATAGAGGGGAGGGGGGGTGTGAAGGGTGGCTACAGCCCCCTCCCTTCTCAACAGGGCTGCTATTGCCCCTCTGATCCCCTCATTACCGGCGGTTAATTTAGTCAGCATCCTCACTCCTGCCTTTTTCGTGTCGGTATAGTTGACGTTAGCCTGTGGAATATTCAGCGCGGCGCCGGCGTCTGGATGTCATGTGGCCATTCTCCGAGTGCGTGTGCGCGTGTACGTGGGAACTTCTTTCGAGGTGGACGATCAATTAGTCGCCCACTCTTTTGTCCGCGGAACGCTCAAATACGACCGGGCGGCGGGCGGAGGAGGAGGATAGTTTTGCAGCGATGGAAATCCCGTCCCGTGTGATCACGGTCGCGCATTGGGGAAACCTCAACGCCTCCCAATTTCAGACTCGGAATTTGTTTTATTTAGACCGCAGCAGGGGGGGGGGGGAGGTGGAAATCCGATGAGCTGTGAAGCTCTTTTCGTTCACAGATGTCCGGTAGGGGGACACACGGGCGTCGCTCGGGCATTTCTCACGGCATTGAAGTCAGCACGTGGGAGCCCCCCCCCCCCCCTTTCTGCACACTTTCCGTGTGTGTGTGTTTTTAATAATAAGTTTACACTTTTAAAGCGCCGTTCACCCAGCGTCTAGCTTTTCAATGATTTGATAATAGGTAAATTAATTTCTTTTTTTATTATTTTAGCTCACAAGGCTACTTGGGGGTGAGTAAGGCGGCACCTGCCCAGCTGATGTTAGGCCGTGGCCAGGAATCCAACTCGGGTTTACCGGTTTTGTAACACAGTGCGCCATAACCACTGCGCAACCGCTCCACCAGCTCCCCACAATTAATTGGTAATACATAACAATTGTGACCACCGTATCAATATAATTAAAATAACAGTTACCTCCACCTATATGTGAAAAGAAGGATACCTCTGTAGCCGTGACTGTATATGGAGATGGGAGTGCCCGATGATCCATAGCTCTCTGTGCACAAACCTCCGCGCCAGCCACTCGCTTCTCTCTCTCTCTCCTCCCCGTCTTGTTATTAAAAGTTAAAGGCGCAGCCCTGCAATCCGCTTGCTCACACCACTGCTGGTGGAGGAGCTTCCACTCGAGGGGAGTTCTGTTGGGGGGGGGGGGGTAATTGGTCTATGCTTCCTTCAAAGAGGTACCCACAATTTACCCCACCGCACGCGGCTCGCCAATCATCGACTAACTGCGGTGAACCCGTTTGATCCGCTTCCATCATGATACATGGTCAATGTTTTTTCGTGCTTTTAGTTTCTTGTCCTTCCCCCGCACCTGTGACGGGCGCTCTTGGCTACGTACGGCGCGAAAGAAGTCCAGGGTGCATAACAGTGCCAATCTGGATCCTTGTCCCCGTGATAATGATGCTAATAATTGCGGTGTTGATGATTATTTACTGCTAAAATACGTGGATATTCGGCGTCCCGTGGGATTGACCTGGGCTCCAGCAACTGAACCCTTGGATACAAACACCACTGCTCTGGTAACTGTCAGAGGAGAGTGGTGGGGGAGGGGTCTACATCTCGCATAGACCGCGTGCACAGTTCCATTAACACGACGGGCGTGGTGTAATGGTTAGCACCACGGTGGTGAGATGTTAACTTCCTCGCCTGATTTGCAGGAGGCGGTGGGTTCGAACTCAAGCCTGACGCCTGCTGCTGCTGTATATTTGTGGTTTGCGGTTTGCGGTGTCTCTCTCCCCGTGGATTTTTCTCCGGATGACCCTCCAACCCACCCCCCCCCCCCCCGGGTTTTTTTACTCAACATTTTATAAAGAACGTCACGCGTTTAGCGTATTTGGCTGCTATGCATTTCCATACGATCAGCCACTTTGTTGAGCTATCATTTGTGGCCTGATCGCTTTGGAAAAAATAATAATTTATCTCCGTGGGCCTTAATTTACCCGTTGAATAAAACAAAAGTTGAAAAGTTGTAATAGATTTAAAAACACTGGCCATGGTTATCCAATTGAAATAATAGCGCAAGTTTATTAAATCCCTCCGTCCTTCCCAGCAGTATATACGTAATCGACGTAGGTGGAGTTTGACTTACACGGGACTATCGTTTTTAACGGAAGAGCGGATAATACACTATAACATGAGAACAAATGTATGTTTAATGGATTCAAAAAGTCAAAGAGTCTCCCACTCGTTCGCCATCGTTGTCAACGCGTGCCTGAATCTTCTCCAGGTGGGCTCCAGAGCCTGGAAGGCAGCAACACTTCGCGTGGTGTTGTTGCAAATTCTCTTGAAGTGTTAACATTTTTTTCGAAGCACCCCTGTATTTGGGAGGGCCAGGGGTTTGCTTTGTCCCTCCGCATTAGGAATCGCGGGTGCACACAATTAATTTATTTTGTAAACCTTAATTGTAAATGTAATAAAAGTGCTCACTTTGCACACTGCGCCCATGTTGATTGGGCAGACAGTCAATCGCCAGGTCGCGCGTGGTGGAGTAAAGTGTGGGTACTCCCACCTCGGCGAGAACATCGTCTCGAGGAGGGCTTCTCTCTGCAGAGCGCCCTCTATTGGTGCCCTACAGCCAGCAGTGGAGCGAGGCACAGCAATCGCAGGCCTGCGCCTTTGGCTTCCTTTCCAGTTGTACAACTTACGAGGAAGAACACGAGAACAGAAACGTCGTCAAAGAAAACAACGACTTTATACTCTTTGGTTCTCTTCGGTAAAGTCACGTAGGTAAAAAAATAAAATAACAAAAATCACGACGTTTCGGCCACAACACAAGTGGCCTTCATCAGGTGAAGGGACCGTGCTGTCATGAGGACAAGGGACCGTGCTGTCATGAGGTCAGCACGGTCCCTTCACCTGATGAAGGCCACTTGTGTTGTGGCCGAAACGTCGTGATTTTTGTTATTTTATTTTTTTACCTACGTGACTTTACCGAATAGAACCAAAGAGTATGGATCCTTGCAGTCACGAAAGCTTCAAATCTAGAAGAAAAAAAAACAACGACTTGTCAAGTGAGAGGAGCCGGTGGGGGCAGCGGTTAGCGCAACTTCCTTTACGAACCCGGCGTCCTGAGTTCGACTTCCCTGGGTCACGGCTATCATCGGTAGTGAGTTCTTGACCGGTTTGGGCCCACCTTTGCCAACGGATACCGACCAGTGTGGTGAAGTATGGTCAAACAACCTGACCGACAGAGCACGGGGTGGACGTGGGCCTCTATAAAGCAGTGGATTGATTCTCAAGAGCCTTTTCGGGAGGTTCTGCTTGCATTGTACAGAATAATAAAGAGGGCACCATTCGAGAGCGTACAGCATAACCGTGTGTGCTGTTCCCATGACATTGATGTACTCAACAGCCCAAATGAGCACTCTACGTCTACTGTGCAGCCTCTTTTGTCACTGCTGGATGAGGCCTTCCCCATGCCGTGCGGGTCGTGGCGGATTGTTTGACCATACTTCACCGGTCAGTGCCACGGTGGCTAGGATATGTTAAATAGCTCGCCTGGTACACAGGAGGTCGTGGGATCGATCCCGACCCTGACGCCTGCTGCTGTATATCTGGAGTTTGCGTGTCTCTCTCTCTCTCATCATCATCATCATCACGGTGGCTAAGAGATGTTAACTACCTCGCCTGGTACACAGGAGGTCGTGGGTTCGATCCCGACCCTGACGCCTGCTGTATATCTGGAGTTTGCATGTCTCTCTCTCATCATCATCACGGTGGCTAGGAGATGTTAACTACCTCACCTGGTACACAGGAGGTCGTGGGTTCGATCCCGACCCTGACGCCTGCTGTATATCTGGATTTGCGTGTCTCTCTCTCTCTCGCATCATCATCACGGTGGCTAGGAGATGTTAACTACCTCGCCTTGTACACAGGAGGTCGTGGGTTCCATCCCGACCCTGACACCTGCTATATATCTGGAGTTTGCGTGTCTCTCTCTCATTATCATCACGGTGGCTAGGTGATGTTAACTACCTCGCCTGGTACACAGCAGGTCGTGGGTTCGATCCCGACCCTGACGCCTGCTGTATATCTGGAGTTTGCGTGTCTCTCTCTCATCATCATCATCACGGTAGCTAGGAGATGTTAACTACCTCGCCTGGTACACAGGAGGTCGTGGGTTCGATCCCGACCCTGACGCCTGCTGCTGTATATCTGGAGTTTGCGTGTTCTCCCCATGGTCGTGTGGATTTTTTCCCCTCCGCATTTAGAATGAACATCACGCGTTTTAAAGATGAAATGCCTGCCATAAATGTCCACGCGATGATAGGCCACCACTTCGTTTGGAGCTATCACTTGCGATGGCCAGCCAGGTCGCTTCTGAGAAAGAGCCACACATCTCGGTGGGCCTTACCTGGCAAAACAAAACAACAAAAATAGTCAAAAGTTTCGTTTAAAAAGTCTCCCCGGGTGGAAACGGGGATGGTGGCTGTGTGACTCAGCTGGCTACCTGTTGCGCTGCGTTGCAGGTGCGGGTTCTCGTGGAGCTGCTGTGGCCCCTGTTCCTGTTCCTCATCCTCGTGTGGGTCCGGACAACGACGCCTCCAAGCGCCAACGGGGAATGTGAGTGCGGCCGATGATGAGCGGAGAGCGCTGTCCCACGGGTTACCCGTGTTTTCGTTCGTAATGCAGGTTCTTCTTCTTCTTCTCCGGTTGTGGGTTAGATCGCGTAAATATATAACTGTGTCGTTAAACCCGCCACCACCCGACACGGCCAATTAGTCAGGTGCGTCACGTAAACAAAAGCCGCCAATTAGTGACTACTGCAACACACCGCTGTGTTGGGGAGTAAACGCGCAACATTTGACAATTTGAGAACGACGTTTCGCTGGTGATTACAACCAGCTTCAATCAGGCGAGCTAACCCCAAAAAAAACCTCTCAGGGATACATACATAGCGCACCTCCGATTTGCGCGGTCGGCTGCGTCCGGCGTGAAAGAGGTTCAACACACACACACGCACGTGCGTGTAACTGTCTTCATAAGGAGCTCTGGGCACCTCCAACACAACCGTCTTGGCCAACAGCAGGCGGTACACGTTTTGGCTTAAAACTTTCATGACTGCAGGAATGAATATTCTTTGGTTCTTTCGGTAAAGTCACGTAGATAGAAAAATAAAAAGAAAGTGAATAAAAATAATAAATAATAAAAACAAAAAAAAACACTAATGTAGACTGTAGCCTGGTTCTTAATCGGAGTGAGTGTACTGGCAGTCTATAATGTAGACTGTAGCCTGGTTCATATTCTTGGTTCTTTCGGTAAAGTCACGTAGAAGGGAAACAATAAAATAGTAAAATAAAAAAAATATAAAACAATAAAATTCTCACGACGTTTCGACTGCAACACAAGCAATCATCATCAGGTGTGAAAACCACAGCAAGAAAATTTGAAAATTTGAAAAAAATGTTCTTGCTGTGGTTTTCACACCTAATGATGATTGCTTGTGTTGCAGTCGAAACGTCGTGAGAATTTTATTGTTTTATATTTTTTAATTATATTTTTAATTATTTTATTGTTTCCCTTCTACGTGACTTTACCGAAAGAACCAAGAATATGAATCTCTGCAGTCACGAAGGCTTTAAATAAAAAATGTAGCCCGGTTATTAAGTTTGGTGAGTGTACTGGCAGTCTATATTAAACTGTAGCCTGGTTATTAAGTTTGGTGAGTGTACTGACAGTCTATAATGTAGACTGTAGCAATGGTTATTAATCTGGATGAGTGTACTGGCAGTCTATAATATAGACTGTAGCCCAGTTATTAAGTTTGGTGAGTGTACTGGCAGTCTATAATATAGACTGTAGCCTGGTTATTAAGTTTGGTGAGTGTACTGGCAGTCCATAATGTAGACTGTATCAATGGATATTAAGATTGGTGAGTGTACGGGCAGTCTATAATGTAGACTGTATCAATGGTTAAGTTTGGTGAGTGTACTGGCAGTCTATGATGTAGACTGTATCAATGGTTATTAAGTTTGGTGAGTGTACGGGCAGTCTATAATGCAGACTGTATCAATGGTTATTAAGTTTGGTGAGTGTACTGGCAGTCTATGATGTAGACTGTATCAATGGTTATTAAGTTTGGTGAGTGTACTGGCAGTCTATAATGTAGACTGTATCCTGGTTATTAAGTTTGGTGAGTGTACTGGCAGTCTATAATGAAGACTGTATCAATGGTTAAGTTTGGTGAGTGTACTGGCAGTCTATGATGTAGACTGTATCAATGGTTATTAAGTTTGGTGAGTGTATTGGCAGCCTATAATGCAGACTGTATCAATGGTTACAAATCGTTAAACCCGAAAACTCATCGGACAATTGAACAGGGCATAGTTCAAGTTCAACAAACACGCAACGGCAAACCTGGTTTACATGTCGTCCCACACTGCATCCCAGGGTTCTAACGCTCATTTTTCAGAGCGGTGGTACACTTTCGCCGATAATTAATAAGACATCACCAGCGTTGGAGGGCCACTGCGTTGAAATGCGGTGGGTTTGTTTCTGGGTTTTTTTTCCTGGATTTTTCTGTTGCGTGCACGCGTAGTCGTATTTAAGACGTTTTCTTTGTTCGTGTTTTTATTGCGGTTGCACCCGAGTCAAGAGCCACACGGCTCACAGGGTTATAGCTAATACATGAAACTGAAAACTGAAAAACTTAAATTTGGTGGGGGGGGGGGGTGTTTTCACATTTTGTGTATGCGGCGGTGGGGGGGTGGCCACATGCCAGGGGCCCGCGAGGCCTCGCAGTGACCAACCACCCTCGCAGCCCCATCGTCACCCTCGCAGCCCCATCGTCACCCTCTCCGCCCCATCGTCACCCTCGCCGCCCCATCGTCACCCTCTCCGCCCCATCGTCACCCTCGCCGCCCCATCGTCACCCTCTCCGCCCCATCGTCACCCTCGCCGCCCCATCGTCACCCTCTCCGCCCCATCGTCACCCTCTCCGCCTGTCGTCCGTGTGTCGCCCAGGCCACTACCGCGTGCGGGCCCTTCCATCAGCGGGGCTGTTGCCATGGCTGCAGGGGACAGTGTGCGAGCTGGGAACCACGTGCGTGACGAGCCACACGCCGGGGGAGGCCCCGGGGGAGGTGAACAACTACCGCGACTCGCTGTAAGAGAGATGTTGATGATGATGCATCCTCCACCCCCCCTGCCTGCGTCCGTGTCGTCTGCACCGACACCGTCTGCTGCGCACGGCACTGTCGCTGTCACCGCCGTCATCATCGCAAATCGTCGTCGTCGTCATAAAAATCATCGTCGAAATAATCATCGTCGTCATCATCGAAATTATTATTATCGCAATCACTATCATCAATGTCTCCACCTCCCTGCCAGGTCTGTATCATCATTATGGCTGCAATCATATCGCAATCAATATCATCATAATCATCATCATAATTATCGTCACCGTCACTGTCTCCACCAACACTCTTTGCCACGTCCGTATCATCCCGTCGCGTTGTTTTGTGTGTGTATTGTTGTCGTCACTTTCTGACCCGTCCCTACTGGACATCCGTGAAGAAGAGCTTTGTGGCTCATCGGATTTCTCCTGCAGTCTAAATACAGATTCTGATCGTCGTCATCGTGCGCCCCGTTGCCCCCGTGGCTCTACAGACCGTTTCCCTGCATAACATTCTTCCCCCCCCCCCCCCCCATCGTATCCCACCCACCAATCGTATCCCACCCACCATAACAACAGACAACAACAACAACAACCGCCATTCGCCAGGCTAGGTGCACGTTGAGGCCACCACGCGAATTGTCGAAGGCTCGCTGGCAGGAGGAGGCCACGGGACAGGCCCGGCAGGTGCCGCGGGTTGATTGCCGTGGTCGCAGTGCCACACAAACTTTGCCAACCCGTTGTCTCTATGCCCCATATCAAAGTAAGCCTTTGATTTGTTAATTATGGCGATGATGCCAATAATGATGCCATTATTGATACACGTGATGATTAATAATGATATTGATGACGACGGATTAGAAACATGATTATTGATAATGCCAGTAATGTTGATGACATTGATAATAAATTGCGATGGTGGCGATGGTAATGATTTTCTTTTGAAGAGAGAGTCAACCTAGGAGCAACATCAGACAGGTTATAATTGTATGCTGAGTGGACCTAGAAGAGAGCACACCCCGGGAACATATGGACTGTGTGTGGTTAGCCGTGTCGAGCCACGCTAAGTTTATTTATCTTAACCAGGTGATGACCTGGGGTCACCAAATAGTCAAAAGCAAAACAAATAAAATAAAGAACAATACCCTACAGCAATGCGGCCAATAGAAGTCGGAGTAAAAACAACTTCGTCACGTGAGGACTGAGTGGTTGACTGTGTGATTGGATCTGTGGTTGACTGTGTGATTGGATCTGTGGTTGACTGTGTGATTGGATCTGTGGTTGACTGTGTGATTGGATCTGTGGTTGACTCTGTGATTGGCTCTGTGGTTGACTGTGTGATTGGATCTGTGGTTGACTGTGTGATTGGATCTGTGGTTGACTGTGTGATTGGATCTGTGGTTGACTGTGTGATTGGATCTGTGGTTGACTGTGTGATTGGATCTGTGGTTGACTGTGTGATTGGATCTGTGGTTGACTGTGTGATTGGATCTGTGGTTGACTGTGTGATTGGCTCTGTGGTTGACTGTGTGATTGGATCTGTGGTTGACTGTGTGATTGGATCTGTGGTTGACTGTGTGATTGGATCTGTGGTTGACTGTGTGATTGGATCTGTGGTTGACTGTCTGATTGGATCTGTGGTTGACTGTCTGATTGGATCTGTGGTTGACTGTGTGATTGGATCTGTGGTTGACTGTCTGATTGGATCTGTGCTTGACTGTGTGATTGGATCTGTGCTTGACTGTGTGATTGGATCGGTGGTTGACTGTGTGATTGGATCGGTGGTTGACTGTGTCATTGGATCTGTGGTTGACTGTGTGATTGGATCGGTGGTTGACTGTGTGATTGGATCGGTGGTTGACTGTGTCATTGGATCTGTGCTTGACTGTGTGATTGGATCGGTGGTTGACTGTGTCATTGGATCTGTGCTTGACTGTGTGATTGGATCGATGGTTGACTGTGTCATTGGATCTGTGGTTGACTGTGTGATTGGATCGGTGGTTGACTGTGTGATTGGATCTGTGGTTGACTGTGTGATTGGATCTGTGGTTGACTGTGTGATTGGATCGATGGTTGACTGTGTGTTGGATCTGTGGTTGACTGTGTGATTGGATCTGTGGTTGACTGTGTGATTGGATCGATGGTTGACTGTGTGTTGGATCTGTGGTTGACTGTGTGATTGGATCTGTGGTTGACTGTGTGGTTTGCGTGCTGCTAGGCTGTCCCGGGTGCTGGTGGACACGCAGGGCTTGCTGATGAACGACTCATTCTGGCGCAGCCTTGAGACCGTGTGGGTGAGCAGGGGGCTCGCCAACGTCATCATCACCGACCCAAGGGCTTGGACCGGTGGGTGGTCGCACACACTCGTGTGCGTGAGTATGTTTGGTCCAGTTTTTGGAGACAGACGCCCTTCAGCATAGGAGCAATGCTCACAACGAGCGGAGCGCCCTGCCGCTAAAACACAGCAATTTGGCATAGTAGGGGGCACAGATGGTGCATCGGTTAGTCATCTGAGTCGGTCAAGCCAGAGCACTTGGGTCTGTCCAGTGACCTCTTGCCAGCGGGCGTTTTACATTTTACATGGCCTTAAAGTACACCTTGCCTGGCACAAGCGCCATTGTGACGTCACCGCCACTTCGTGGGGAATGGCGGTTGTTGTTGTTGATGGTCCAGAGTGGGGAGCGGTAGTGCAACAGTTAGCACGCCGCACCACCAGTGACGATTATCTGAACCGGTCCTGGGCCTCTCCTAGGTCAACTCTGCCTCAAATGAGTACCTGGTGCGATGTGTAAAAATAACTTCACCGCTAGGGAGACAAAGGTGGCCCGTCGTGGTGCTGGCCACCCACCCCCTCGTGTGTGCCGTGCCGAACTCCATAGGTGCTCGTGGACAGCACTTGCCCCATCAGCCTGTGTAGGCTATGTGTTTGTATGTACATGAGGCATGTCTAGGTACGTGTATGGTCAAACAATCTCCATGACCAACACATGGCCAAGCCTTCATTCATTGGTGGAAGAATAGAGCTGTGATATATATTTAGTATAATAAGAAGAAATTAAATTTTCATTTTTTGTAAAGCCATAATCATATATGCAACGCACACAACAGCTGTAGCTTAACATTGGTAAGAAAGTCATCAGCCTGATTCCAACCTAATGTTTTCTAAAGTTCAATAAAATAAAAAAATGTACAGCCCTTGGCAATCCACTGCTGGATGGAGGCTTACCCATGCCATGTCATGTAGTGAAGGTTTGTTTGACCATACTTCACCTACCTGGTCGGTGCACCTCCGATTAGCATGGTTGGCTTTGTACGGTGCGAAAGAAGTTCAACGTACATGCATACGTAAAGTTGTGTGCTCAGCAGCGACTCCGACATCTTTTGCCACTGACGTTGGCAGTCATGAAGTCAGCGGAGTGCGCTAACCGCTGCGCCACCACTCACTCCGTACACAGTCAAATCAGGCATGCAAATATCCATTGGCACTCACCGTTTGTGAATGAGATCGTGCTCCCTGGCCCAGTTACGGCTCTCCCTCTCATGCCCCCTCCGCAACCCCCACCAACTGTCACGCTCTCGGCTTCAGAATCCACAGACTTATTTCCGAACATTCAGGTTTTTCTCTTTTTTTGTCTCGTCAAAGGCAGTCACGCAACCTCGCATGACGTGCTGCCGTGGAGGCACGCAGCTGCCGTGGCCTCGTTATTTTGAAACGACGCGCGACCTTCCGCTTGATGTCAAATGCTCCTGTGCCGCATCACGCCCCCCCCACCCGCACCCGCCCAGTTTAACTTTTCCCGTACCCTTAACTCATTTTTCCCTTCTGGCTTCTACGGAGTGATTTGGCGCCATCATGTCAAGCCCCCCCCCCCCCCACCTTCTCTGTATGTGTGTGTGCGTATTTCTTGCGGAGCAGCAGTGCGGCGGTTAGCACATTGCGCGACCCGGGTTCGATCCCTGCTCGCGACCAATAACAGTGACGAAATATCTCAAATCGGTTATTGCCCCCCCCCCCCGCCGCCCCCTGAGGTCGACTCAGCCTTAAATGAGTGCCTGGCACGGTGTTTACACATCCACCGCCGGAGAGACAAAGGCGTCCAGGCGTGGTGTCATCCTTCGTCGGTGCTCGCTAACAGCACTTGCTGCGACGGTCCGCGAGGGCTAAGCGGGTGACCTTTGACCTTGTTTTTGTTTCGTCGGCAACAGGTAACATCGTGCTACGGAATGTGCTGGTGGACAGCTCCCCGCTACAAGCCTACATGAAGCAAAACCTGTCGTTTCCGGACTGGGCCGTGTCGGACCTGATGCGCGTGGAGATCCGACCCCAACTGGTCAGAGACGGAGATAATGAACACGCGTACAGCCCGTGATGTCTTCCGTTCAACCGCGTGTGTCCCAATAACAACAGCAGCAGCAGTGGGCTGAGCCGTTCGCACGAAGGGCTACAATTTTGGCAAATCGCCCCCGATGAGGCTGGTTGTAATTGCCAGTGAAACGTCACAGTACTCAACACACCGTTGTGCTGAAGTAGTAACTAATTGGCACGTTTTGTTTACGTGACAAACCTTCCTGATTGGCTGTGTCGGGTGGTAGTATATTTATGCGATCTAATCCAAAAAAAACCTTCTATTATGAAGCACTACTTTGATATTTCACCACGGCCTAGGTGTGCGTTCGCCGTTATGCCACTGCTGCCGCTGCTGCTGCTGCTGTGTGTATTTCTCCACCGTGCTTTCGAGTCATACCCCCGCGTTGCTCGGTACGATGTCCGACGTATCGCTCCACGGGCTGGGACGCTTTTCGGGGACGCTGAACTCGGTTTCTAAAATGCTCGCGTTTCTACAAAAACTGGAAACGCACCGGAGAACTTAGAATCCCGGCACTGGTTCCGTGTTTTTCCAATCTGATGATTGTGAAGCCCCTGAGCTACATGCGTCCCTGATGATCGTACAGTGTGTATAAACATAGGGCCATGGGCGGAGTTTGGGGGCACGGTGGGGTGGCAACGCCCCCCCCCCCCCACGAAACTGGACACCTTCATGAATTTATTTTCAGTAGTTTACAAGTAAGATTAAAAAAGAAATTAATTTTATGCACCCAGTGAGGGACAAAGCGAACCCTTACCCCCGCACCCACCCCCCTCAAATATAGAAGTAAAACACCGCCTATGTATAGGGCACTATTTTTCCGGGTCGCTGATAGACTGGTAGTAGGTGGCACGTGACTCATGGCAACAGCCACAGCGAGTGGTCTCCTGGACGTGGTGTGCCGTGTGCCGAAATATATTTTCTGGGTCACTGAACCCAGACACACCCGGCTGGACTGAAGCCCTGATTGTGGAGCGCTGTGTCCACGTTTGGTCGGGTGAACATTTTCCTGCTTTTTGGGGAAATTGAAATCTCTTCTTTTACGTGTTTTTTTTATTTTTCGATGTTGAATTTTTTTTTAATACATGTTTCAGCTGCGACGTCGGCGTCGCGCGGTGAGGCGGCGTTGAATTCCGTTCGCAACTCTTACGGCGAGCAGTGTACCACGGCCTGTCAGATAATGGCCCCGCCAAGATGATTGCTGCGAAAGTCACTTCAAGAGACCTGTTTATCCGCACCAGGAAAACAACTTTGATATGGCCTGCCAGTATTGTTGATTGATGAACAGTGAAAGAGTTTTTTTTGTTCTCCTCCTCCTCAAAGGCGGAGTAGATTAAGTAAAAAACAGACTTGGCAGTAGCCACAGTTTGGATTTATACGGTGTCCTACTGTATATGGAATTGAATCTTAAGACACTGTCCAAACATAGTGGAATCATTTCATTTTGGGCAGGGCGAGGAGGGGGGGGGAGGAGTTACATCAATTGTGACCAGGCTGAGACCATCAGCTCACGACACTGAGAACCGGTTTAAGCACGAGTGGCCGATACTCAAAATTAGAAATCAAGATTCCAGCAGCCGCCGGCTCGGTGCTCTGACCCCAGAGCCGCCGTCACCTCGACACCTTTGCATCGTAATGCGAGAAACGGTGCTGCTGCGGCTTGGCAGATAAGGCCACGCACATTTTAAAGATGGACAATGATTTGTTGCTTTATTGAGGGTAAGATCTGGGAAAGGCGCAACACTGCAATTTATTATTCGTGCCACTGCTGGCACAAGGGCCTAGAACAGATGGAGCCCTGGTGAGCTCCACCTAGGGCAGTGGCTCTTAACCTGGGGGTGCATGCTGCACCCCCTCGGGGTGCGAGATCCCCTTTCTGGGGGTGCGAGACATGGGCAGATTTTTTTTAGAAGGCAAATCATCGAAAACACAAATTACGCATGGGCATGTAAGTGCAACGACTTTTGTTTTATTAAACCGATGTATTTATTCACGTTATTTAAAACAAAAATAGGACTGAGAACCAAAGGGGTGCAGACTTTAGTGAAGGTAAAAGAACCGCTGATCCAGAGGGTACTTGGCCTGCTCTTTCCCTCTGGCCAGACACCTTGAGATGCGGGGAGGAGCACCCTACGCTTTATCCCACTCCATGTGACCTGCCAAACAACTCGCTGTGGTGAACACAATTACACTCCTGCATTGGCACGGGGGCGATGCAGACTTAAGAAACTTGCCCCATTGTCACGCTTGCCATGTCCCTCAAGTCCAGCATAGTAGCCATTACACCGGCCCTGCCGCTGGCCCTCTAGCGGATTCCGTCTCTCGCCGTCCCCGGCACGGCATTCGACCCCCGAGACCACCCAGGCGCCACCTTTTCCGTCCTCGTTTTGTAACGAGTCCCGAGGTGGCAGGGCATTTGTGCTTACCAACCTGTGTACGAACGAGCCAAATGTCAAGAAAAGGGAGCCTTTTGCCCGGGAGGCCTCATCAAGACATGCCGCCGGAGTCGCCCGCTGCCCAACAATTAGCATAACGAGAGAGCCGATTGCCCCCTGTCGTGGTTTCATCGTGCGAGGGAGCCACGTACGATCGATCAAAACGTGCCGTGACTTGGCATCCTTGTTTTTCGAGCCGCCTCCCGCAAGGGTTTTGTTGCTGTGGTTGTTGTTGTTGTTAAGAGCGGCCAAGTGTGGTTTCTAGCTGTGAGTGTCATCGATTCTGACCAGGAGTTCACTCTCGCGGTGGCCTAAAGTGCATCGGACGGACCAGAGACGCATCGGGGTGACAGCGGAAGAACGTAATCACGAAGATAGCGTCACCAAGTTAAACCTGTGAAGGGGGAGGCAGGGACGCATGTGGGTGGAGTGGCTCGCCCACTGTGCTATATGAATTGAGCAGTCCTGAGTATATGTCCGACCCGTGGCTAATATCAGCGGCGAGTCATATCTGAACTGATCCTGGGTCGCGCACAATTTCTGGGCGACCCCTTTTGGTCAGTTTGGCCGGGGTTGTCACTTGAAGTGGCTCACTGCAATAGCAAAAGGCAAGTGCTGTGGATGATCCTCGCGAAATGGGATGTCACCCCCACCTCCACCCTCCCCGGTAACAGACGGACGGGATGGGCAGTCAAATCAACCTCCGTTGGAAAGCCTGCAAAATAAAAAAAGCGTATTGTTAAACGTGTGGTCCGTTCGGGGGGGAAAAATAAATGGCATTATTCCTAAGGAAAGCGTACAATAAAAAAAACTATAATAATCCACGCGCGAGAGAGTACGTACGGCGGGTCTGCTTTTTATTTTTACATTCGTCCAGCCTCGAGAAGGAGCAGATTGCACAGTGCCACGTCTCTATTGTGACCGCGTAGAGGGAAAGGCGTCTTTGTAATTGAAGATGGGTGCTGGTGGGGAGGTCTAATGGCCACCATTGTGTGAGCAGCTTTAATTAAAGTGGGCTACGACTGACTCGTCGGCTGCTGCTTTTTTTTCTCCCGAGCAGGCTTCGTTGTACGCACCTGCTCGAGCTTTCCAATGCAGCCCATTAAGTTAAATCGATAAGTCGTCGATCGAGGTGGGTGATCGATCGTGGTGGCCACCTTCAGAACCGCTTGTTGTTTTGTTTAGCTTGTTTGTCTTCCCCCCCCCCCATCCCGCACCTCCCGATTTAGTACGCTCGGCTACGTACGGTGGAAAAGAAGTTCAACATACGTGTGTGTGCAGTATGGTGTTTGTAGGGTGGTGCGTGTAGGGTGATGGGTGGTGTGTGCATGATGGCGTTCGCAGGATTGTGTATGTAGGGTGGTGTTTATAGCATGGCTCTTGACTAACCGTAACTTTTTTTTGCCGATCCTGAACTCGTGTCCAGCCACTCGTACCCTCGCAGGGCTGATGGCGCAACCAGTGCCGGATTATCCTAGTAGCAAAGTAGCTGCATATTCTACGGGCCCCGCACTTTAGCTTTCAAGCTATCAATTCCGGTTCAGTGATTCTGCACTTGCTCTATTACTATAGTACTATGCCGCCTTCAACTTTTATGAACGACTGGGTGTTTAAGGTTAGCGATTTGTCGTATTATCTGGCTGCATAGCAAGCTAAAAACATACATTTTCTTTACCATGCAAATAAAAAATTTGTGTTTTCATATTTCAGCGTTTTATTTATTTATTTAGGGCCCCTGTATAACATTTGCTACAGGCCCCGCACTAGCTTGATCTGGCACTGGGCGCGATACCGCCGTTAGAAAGTCATACTTAACATGGCGCACGCGCGTTGAAGGGTGTCACAGAATCCGTGCGGAATGAGCGATTTTGTTTTTTGGTACAATTAAATGTCTCGCCGTCTCGTGTCGTTCACCGTCACAGTTCCTGGCACTGTCGCTGGCGCAACGGCTGAGTCCGCGCGCGCTCGCGTGCAACGCCTCCCTGCAGAACCCGGTGCTCTTCACCCGCTCGAGCAACTGGAGCTCGCTCAACAACCTCACATGCTCGCTTTCCGATGAGCAGCTCCAGGGTTTCGCGGCCGCCGCGGCCACAAGCGTCAACGCGAGTCGCCTCTCCACGCAGGTGAACCGGCCCCGGGGGGGGGGGGGGGGGGCGGTATTCGAGTGCATTTAAAATACATTGTATACTACATAACGGCATAAAATACATTATATGATACATAGCATGATTGTAGTTGTATTCGCTTGGTGTACGACGCTTTTTTCATGAATATTTTGCTGTTTTTTTCATGGATTTTCTGTTTGCGCAAAGTCACATAGTCACTTTAAGATGTTTTCTTGTTCGTTTTTTTATGTTTTTGTTTGTTGTGGTTGCACCCGATTCACGAGCCGAAGGGCCCACAGGGCTATACCAAATAAATAAATAAACTGAAACTGAATTTTCGTGCATTTAAAATACATTATTTACTTCGTAACAATATTCTCGTGGTATTATAGTGCGTCTAAAATACATTATGTACTACATAACGGTATTCTAGTGCGTTCCCCATGCATTATGTACTGCTCGAATTCAACGTGACGTTATTGTGCGCTTTTATATATACGTTCACGGCAGCCTGGTTAGCATTGGTCCTGTTACAAGAATTTAAATGGTCATCAATCTCCTCCTCCGCCCAAATGAACTTCCATTTCCTAGCCCAGCATCAGAGCCCTCCGACCCGGTGCAGTTGCACCGCCTGCACTACACCAACTTATCCTTCATCGCGATTCAATGCCTTGCCCCCCGCCCGTTTGTGTTGCAGGTGATAACGTCGCTGAACATGACGGTGAGTAGGCAGCTCCTGGGCCTGGGCTCGAGTCTCGGGATTCTTCAGCAGCAGGTATAGTACAAACAAAACCTCTTCGGTGAGCCACACATCCGAATCCGAATATTTTATTGTTACACTGGAGGAGGAATGCAATGAGCTACATCGTTCTTTTATCACAGATGTCCAGTCGGGGGCACGGGGTAAGAACTTCACAACAACAAACAAAACCAAAAACATAATAGGAGTGCACAGTACAAGAAAGGTAAGCAATACAAATGAAACTAAACCATTCTAATCCTATATTATTCTAATACTATCAGAAAAAGCCCACTGAGGCATTAACTTACTTTTCAAAATCAACCTGGCCACAAATGATAGGTCAACAAAGTGGCGTATCATTTGGACATTTATAGCAGCGAAATAAACACACACCTCGGCGTAAAAGGCATTGAATAACAAAAATAACATGCGCCATGAGAATAATAATAATTTAAATGTATAATGAGACCATCATTCTGAATGATTTTTGCCATTGTTTTGGTTATTACACCCACAGCTTTAACCGGTTCCCATTTGCGTGGGTTTTGAAAACTAAGAATAGGTTTTACTATTTCTGGCAATGAAACAGGAGGTGTGTTCAGATGTTCAAACACCAAATAGGTACCTTTTGCAAAGTCCGCATTAATCACACGTACTTGTGGTGAACACGCAAAAAAACTCTGAGAATGTATGGCATTGTCTTTGAAACTGATTTGACCTACACCAGAGACAGCAGCCTTCTTTAAAGCCTAGTCTATCCACCAGTGTCAGACCAGAGAACGCCAAAAGGCGGACAGTAAAAGAGACAATGCACGTATCACAGCATGTATAGCTCAGGGTGCCAGCATCAATCCTGCTTCCGACAATATTGATACTGGCAAAAAAGGTCCCGTGATACATGCATGGGTTTTGTTTTGTGTTTTTAATGCCCGAAACAGGTGATGGGTCTTGGCAGTTTGAAGACGGTCATGGCCGGACTGGGCGGCTCTACTGGCTTCTCACTGTCACAGCTGCTGTGCGGCAGCAGTGGGGGGCTAAGCTTCCTGGACAACTTGGGGTCCTCAAACACCTCCAGCTCGGGAACACCCGGAGCAACGACTGCCACAACCACCAAGAGCCAGAACTCGAGCTCCACAGCCGGCGCCGGCAGTACGAACGTTGCAGTCACTTCGTAATGCACACGTTCACTCGCCGGCAGTCGCCGTGCTGTCACCCTTCCATCGCTACTGTCACGGTTCTTGCTGTTCTCGTGAGCTTCACTCATCGACTACTCCACCCATGCTGAGGACTCGGTCTTCTAGACAGGCTGTTACATGCCATCCACGCTGCGTTCAACCACCACTGCCACCGCCACCCTGCAGGTCACGACGCTTCCCTTACCCCTTCTTTTGTCTTCCCTCGCAGTGCCCAACTTTGGAATTATCTCCAACTGTCGCTTTCCCCAAGTTAAAAATAAATAAATTTCAAGTCTTATCTACATAATTACAACTTTAACATTTAATAGTGCTGATTAATGTATCGTGGATAGACCTAGTTTTAGGCTTAGTTTAGGCCTAATAACCACTACAGGTCTGACCTATAGAACCACTCGGAGAGCTTGAACCCCAACGTGCTAAGAAGCTCCACCGCAGTGGTACGAATGCGTTGGGCGTAGCGTAAGGCAAGTTGGGACGTCAACTGAACACAAGCCTCAATAATCCCCTGCGAAACCCGGTCTCCTAAAGTAGCCCCACTTCCCGTTCCTCGGTCCCTTGGTGTTCACGACTATTGGCACACATCTGCTCCTGCCCTTCCTGCCTCCAAGCTGTGCTGTGCTGCTCTGTACTACTCCTCTCTTCTACTCTGGGGCTGTTCCCCCGTGAGCTCCCTTAACCCTTTCCCGTTTCTGAGATGACTGCAAGTGGCAGGGTGTGGGTGTCCCGTTCGCCGTCGAATCTCGGAAACGAGCAAGTGGCTCGGCGTGAACTTTATTTGGAGACGCATAACACCACTGCTTTTAAAGGCATTGTATGCGCCGCAAAGAACCGAAGCAACATGACCGCCGCACTCTACGATAGCTGGCGCCAAACTGTGCCACATGCCCTCCCGCATGGCTTTGTGCGAGCCTCGGTACCGATATTATTTTATTTCCAGAATCGGAAGAAGAAAAACGATTATGTAGACGTATGTCATGGGAAGGGGAAAGGGTTATGGTCGCGGTTTGTCTTCCACAGACTCGTTGTGCACAAACCTCATTAGCATGGCCGGGTCTTCGGCGACCACCAACATGCTGTGGAAGATGTTCAAGCCCTTCCTGCTCGGCAAGATCCCCTACACGCCGGACACCCCCGCCGTGCGTGCCATCCTCCAGCAGGTAGGCATCGCGGTGGCGAGGATGTTAACTCCCTCGCCTGGTATGCAGGTTGTCGTGAGTTCGATCCCGATCCCGACCCTGACACCTTTTGTATATTTGGAGTTGCGTGTTTTCTCTCTCTATCCGTAATCGTGTGGATTTTTCTCCCGGGTCCTCCAGTTTTTCCCCCCACATTTAGAATCAACGTGTGTTTTAGAGTATGTGGCTAATCTACACCTCCACATGATGATAATCCACTTTGTTGAGCTATTATTTGTGGTCACGTCGCTTCTGAAAAAGAGCTGTATAGCTCAGTGGGCCTTAGCTGTTAAATAAAAATTGTTTAGTTTTAGGTAGACACCCCAGATGAGGTGGTGGCTTTTATTTTTATTTCATATATTTTTTTCGTCTTAATTTTTTTGAACGTTCTAAAATGTGTACACAGAATTTTTTTATAGTTTTTTTGTTTAAGGGCCCCAATACCAGATTTATTATTTCGTACATTTTCTAACATTCGAGACACCGGCTGCCGCCTCGGCATGTGTCCTTGGTTGAGTCTCCCAAACATTAGGCAGCTTCGATTGGTCTAGGTTGTTGGATTTGATCTGCTTTGATCGATCGGTTGGGGCCTCTTGCAGGCGAATACGACGTTCGAGGCTCTTGCCATGCTGGGGAGAATGGGCGTCGCCTGGGACACGGTGTCGCCTGCCCTCTTCAACTTCTTCACCAACAGCTCCGAGATGCAACTGCTTCGGGTAACTCGGCTGCATTCGCAGATTCTCACGGCCGTCCCCGGCCAACTCTCCAATGTGTTATTCGGCCCATGCCGCGTCTTGTTTGGCATGACGTTCTTGAAAAGAATGCCTGCTGCACACCATAACACCATACTATGCTCACACCGACAAATACAAAGGCCCCCCCCGACAGCCTGAACAGACTGTTGGGGCAAGTGCCGTTAGTGAGCACCTAATGGAGGCAGTCACGGCACAGAAAGGGGTGGATGGCCAGCACCACGCCCGGTCGCCTTTGTCTCCCCAAGTGGCGATATTCACACACCACAACAGGTACTCAATTTGAGGCTGAGTCGACCTAGGGGAGATCCATGACCGCTTCAGATAATCGTCACCGGTGTTGTTGGCTGTTAGCGGGAATCGAGCTTGGGTTGCCGGGTTTGTAGCGCAAGCGCGCTAACCGCTACACTAACGCTCCTCTCCCCACACGCTCGCACTCACGCGCTCGTACTCGAACAACGTTTGTCCACCGCAGGGTGCCCTTGCCTCGCCGATGCTGGCCAGCATGCTGGACCCCGTACTGAGCGGCTCCGGCTTCACGGCCGCCGGCCTCTCCGCTTTCTTATCGGGCCGCAACGGGACGACGTGGAGGAGCCTCATGGGCAGCGTGGGCAGCGTCCTGCACACGGTGTCCGGCTACGTGCAGGTGCCCACCGCTACGGCCGCCACGGCCACCACCGTGCCCACTGCGATAACAGACGCACGTTTAAAGGCATTTGGCCGCTATACATTTCCACACGTTTACAGGCCAGCTGGCGAGTCATCTCATATCTACAGGGGCAGCTGCCAATGGGGGTGCCCTTTCATTATTTAGATTTATTTGGCTGCTTTAAATTTACACGCGATAAGCCACTTCGTTGAATTATAATAATTTGTGATAGCCAGGTCGCTTCTGAAAAAAGAGCTACATACAGTAGCTCACTGGGCCTTACCTGGTAAAATAAAAACATAGTGTAGTTTGAAATCGTTTTAGATGATCAGAATATTTATTTATACTGCAGGAAGAATCCGATGAGCTGTGAAGCTCTTTGTCACAGATGGACCATTACGTCGCCTGTCAGCGTGGATTGGTGAAGGAGGTGGGAGACCGGGACCAGCTCGGACATCGCTCATGTAGGGGCACGGGGTAAAAAAGTTCAAACAACAATCGATATGAAAAGCATGATAGGAGTGCAAAGTGTAGGGAAGGTAAGCAAATAACTTCAAAATAATGAAAATAAACTCTTTTTTTATTTTACCAGGTAAGGCCCACTCAGCTATCAGCTTCTTTTTCAGAAGCGACCTGGCTATAACAAACGATAGCTCAACGAAGTGGCTTATCATGTTCACATTTATAGCAGCCAAATACCTTAAATAATGAAACGGCAGCTCAGTGGCAGCTGCCCCTGTGGGTACGCGATGACTCGCCACCTGGCCGCAAACGGGCATTAGTCTATCGACGGAAGATCTTAACGCCTGTTTTACTGCTGGAAAGGGTAAAACCTATTCCTTTTTGTGCCTTAGTCCGCCACCAGTAAAGGGTGACGATTTCTACGTGTCATCCCAGTGGAGTAACCCTTGCATAGTAAGCGTTTAAGGATTTGCATTCATGGGGCGCTTTCATTTCATCTCAATCATTGCAACCATGCCAGGTCGCTTGCAAGCCACGCGCCAGTCTGTTAGGGCTGGCCCAAGGCAATCCGGACCGCCGGTGCCCCGTGCACACATCGTGATTGATGAGCAGCGGAGTGTGGTCGATATGCAAGGCAGTCCTGATCTGAGTCCAAGGACTACTGCCACCACGGTGTATGTAACAAGCCGACTGGACAGGGGGCAGTTGATGAGCTGAGAGCGACAATTATTATTGTTATCATTCAAGTCTGTCTTGAAAACTCGCCTCTCTAAACTGGCCTTCACCCCCCACCCCACCCCCACTAGTTCTGGCCATTCACCCTGCAGGTTCTGTTTATTTGCTGCTTTCCGTAACACGGTGGCGCATTGGTGGGATCTGCGGACGGAATGCGAGACTTCACAGATGTAAATTGTTCTTGTTATAATTGAAACGCGTTTTGCCGCTGCTGTTGTTGTCGCCGCTTGCCGACCGCCACCGCCGGGCTGCGCTCAGTGTCTGGAGCTGAACAAGTTTGAGGGCCACGCGAACGAGGGCAGCCTCGTGAACCGCTCGCTGGAGCTGCTGGCCAGCAGCCAGCTGTGGGCCGCTCTCGTTTTCCCCGAGCTGGGCCCCACCGACCCCGTGCCACGCCACCTCAAGTACAAAATCCGCATGGACATCGACTCGGTGGAGGTCACCAACAAGGTCAAAGACAGGTGCTGTCCCCCTCTCCCATCCCCTCCACATTCCCTCCCGTCCCGTCCCCTACTATCCCCTCCTATCCCCTACCATCCCCTCTCCTACTATCCCCTGACAATGGCAATCATGATGACGGTGACGACGACGTCGACAATGGCGGCGACGATGATCGTGACGATGACAACGGCGGCGACGATGATCATGACGATGACAACGGCGGCGACGATGGTCATGACGATGACAACGGCGGCGACGGTGATCATGACGATGACAATGGCGGCGACGATGATTGTGACGATGACAATGGTGGCGACGATGATCGTGACGATGACAACGGCGGCGACGATGATCGTGACGATGACAACGGCGGCGACGATGATCGTGACGATGACAACGGCGGCGACGGTGATCGTGACGATGACAACGGCGGCGACGATGATCGTGACGATGACAACGGCGGCGACGATGATCGTGACGATGACAATGGCGGCGATGTCGTGTGCAGGGTGTACAGCCCGGGACCGCGCAACGAGTCGCGCTACCTCAAGTTCGGCTTCGCCTTCGTGCAGGACATGGTGGAGCGGGCAGCGGCGCGCCTCTTCGCCGGCGGGCAGCCTGCCACCGGCATCTTCCTGCAGCAGATGCCCTACCCCTGCTACGTGCAGGACTCGTGCGTGTGCCCTCGCGCCTTGCCCCACACCCTCGATCACTGTCGCTCGCTCGCCCGTTCGTCCGTTCATTCGTTCGCCTGCCGATTTGTTCTTTTTATTTTGCCACTCGCTCGTTCATTGTTCGTTCGTTCACCTGCTCGTTTGTTCATTTGCACGCTCATTCATTCACCTGCGATGCATTCGTTAATTCACCTGCCGATTCGTTTATTCGTTCACCCGCTCATTTGTTAATTTTCACACTCAATTGGTCGGTCCTTCACCTGCTGATCCATTCGCATTGCAACTCCCTGGCGCCACCAACAAGCTAAAACCAGGCCTACCCCAACTCCTACCACTACCTCTTTCACCACCACAACCCACTGCCACTATCATCTTATGTACAATTTTACGATTAGCTGTGGAGCACCTCCTTGGAATAAGGCACTACATAAGGCGCTGCTATAAAAAATAAGGCAAGATATGATTGCGTGGCTTGACCTTGTCCCCTGTCGACCCCCCCCCATCGCCCTTCCCCCGGCCCATCGCCATGGCAGGTTCCTGCAGATGATGACGAGCTCGCTGCCGCTCTTCATGACGCTGGCGTGGATCTACTCCGTGGCCATGATCCTCAAGGGCGTGGTGCACGAAAAGGAGGCGCGGCTCAAGGAGACGATGCGCATGATGGGCCTCACCAACGGGCTGCACTGGCTCGGCTGGTTCATCTCCTGCTTCGTTCCGTTTATCGTCAGCGCCATCTGCCTCATCCTCATCCTCAAGGCATGCTGGCCCGCGCGGGATGTCCGGGCCGGTGGAGGGGGGGGGGGGGAGGTTTTTTACCCTTTCCCGTTTCGATGACGTACGTCATCAGTTTGTCCTCTGATCCCATTCCGATAACTTAGACGATGACGCACGCGTACTCCTGGCCCAGGGCTGCAGTAATCCTGGAGATGAGCACCGCAGCACACGCTCGTTTAAGGAGGAAAACCACCTTGATGTTGGCCCCGCCCACTACTCGACAAGCTCCGCCCACTACCCGCCAAGCCCCGACCACTAATCGACAAACCCCCTCCCAGGAGCATGAGGCCAGAAATTTTATAAAGGATGGAGGAGGCGGTGGGGGGGGGGACACCAGGAGACAGACAGTCTTACTGAGAGGACTCAGGGACGCATGGCAGATTTAACCACCGCCACACGATTTAGCTTCGGGCCCGTAAAAATGTCCGACCTTCACACCGATCTCACGTCCGCGTCTTCCCCTCCGCTCCCGACCCTCCGCCGCCAGTTTGGGAACGTGTTCCCCAACAGCAACTTCCTCATCCTGCTCCTGTACTTCCTGGCATTCACCGTGGCGACCATCATGCAGTGCTTCCTGGTCAGCACGTTCTTCGCGCGAGCGAACCTGGCGGCGGCCTGCGGGGGCATCCTCTACTTCCTGCTCTACCTCCCCTATGTGCTGTGCAACGTCTGGCAAGACCGCCTCACCTTCCCCATGAAGATACTCGCCGTGAGTCGCCCCTTCCCTCCCCTCCCCCTCCTCCTCCTCGTCCGCACGGGTGGTCTTGGCGAGTGGTCGATTTTCGCCTAAACACATCCATTGCGTTATGTAACTTCACGGTCGTGTACATTTTCGCCCTTTGCTGGGCTGTCATGCGATGCGCTTTTAAATCTTGATTGAAAACTCATTTCTTTTAGAACTGCTTTTTGTGTTTTAGTTTGTTGTCAATTCCTCCGCACCTCCGATTTAGCACGGCCGCCTGCATATGGTGTGAAAGAAGCTCAACATACGTACACAACAACAATATTTCTCACCATCTGTCAGAGCGCTGCTAGATTAAGGCTTTCCTCCACACACCACGACGGTATATTTGACCATCCTTTTATCACAATCATCAAAATATTTATTGATACTGGAGGAATCCGATGAGCTATAAAGCTCTTTTTCACAGATGCACCATTACGTCGCCGGTCAGCGTGGCTTGGTGAAGGAGCTGGGAGACCGGGACCAGCTCGGACATCGCTCACCACCGCTATTTTTTGCCGTGGCCGGGAACGGTCGAAATCAAAGTCATTTACCGTCATCTATAAGACGCGTGCCTGTGCCACTCCCAACCCCACCCCACCCCACCCCATCCCCTCGTCGCCGGCATCTCCGCTTCCTACCAGAGCCTCCTGTCCACGGTGTCGTTCGGCTTCGGCTCCGAGTACATCTCCCAGTACGAGCAGCTCGGCGTGGGCTCGCAGCCCAGCAACCTGCGCGTCAGCCCCGTGGACGGAGACCGCTACTCGCTCGTCACCTCCATCATCATGATGTTCTTCGACGCGCTCCTCTACGGCGTGCTCACGTGGTACATCGAGAACGTCTTCCCAGGTAGGCGCCCGAGAACGGAACGCCGGGTCTGGCTCGCCACGTCTTTGCCCAGCCGCACGAAGCAGAAGGCGGGGAGAGCAAAAGGTCTGGGTGTGGGCAGGAGGCAGAGGGATACTCGGCCGACCTCTCGCACAGATGAACACGCTTCGGTGTACGTTGTGCGTCTGCTATTGGGGACTGTTGAAAACCGGCCACAATTGACCGAAGCGTTGCCCAAAGCTTGGAGAGACGAGCAAAGCAAAGAGAACACAAAGTCCGACACCTCCGATTGACACGGTCGGCTACGTATGGCGTGAAAGAAGTTCAACATACATATAATGCACATGTACGTGACGTTTTCAATGATTGTGACATTTGTGATTATTGTGACGTTTGTGTCGACTGTGACGACTGTGACGACTGTGACGATCGTGACGACTGTGACGACTGTGACGACTGTGACGACTGTGACGATTGTGACGACTGTGACGACTGTGACGACTGTGACGATTGTGACGACTGTGACGACTGTGACGACTGTGACGACTGTGACGACTGTGACGATTGTGACGACTGTGACGACTGTGACGACTGTGACGATTGTGACGACTGTGACGACTGTGACGACTGTGACGACTGTGACGATTGTGACGACTGTGACGACTGTGACGACTGTGACGATTGTGACGACTGTGACGACTGTGACGACTGTGACGACTGTGACGATTGTGACGACTGTGACGACTGTGACGACTGTGACGACTGTGACGATTGTGTCGACTGTGACGATTGTGACGATTGTGACGATTGTGACGACTGTGACGACTGTGACGATTGTGACGACTGTGACGATTGTGACGACTGTGACGACTGTGATGACTGTGACGATTGTGACGACTGTGACGACTGTGACGACTGTGACGACTGTGACGACTGTGACGACTGTGACGATTGTGACTATTGTGTCGACTGTGACGACTGTGACGACTGTGACGATTGTGACGACTGTGACGACTGTGACGACTGTGACGATTGTGACGACTGTGACGATCGTGACGACTGTGACGATTGTGACGACTGTGACGATCGTGACGACTGTGACGACTGTGACGACTGTGACGATCGTGACGACTGTGACGACTGTGACGACTGTGACGACTGTGACGACTGTGACGATCGTGACGACTGTGACGACTGTGACGACTGTGACGATCGTGACGACTGTGACGACTGTGACGATTGTGACGACTGTGACGATTGTGTCGACTGTGACGACTGTGACGACTGTGACGATTGTGACGACTGTGACGACTGTGACGACTGTGACGACTGTGACGACTGTGACGATCGTGACGACTGTGACGACTGTGACGACTGTGACGATCGTGACGACTGTGACGACTGTGACGATTGTGACGACTGTGACGATTGTGTCGACTGTGACGACTGTGACGACTGTGACGATTGTGACGACTGTGACGATCGTGACGACTGTGACGATTGTGACGATTGTGACGATCGTGACGACTGTGACGATCGTGACGACTGTGACGATCGTGACGATTGTGACGATTGTGACGTGTCTCCCCCCCCACCACCACCGTGCACGCCCCAGGCCAGTACGGTGTGCCACGGCGCTGGTACTTCCTCTTCACCAGGTCGTACTGGTGCGGGGCTTCATCGTCCGACGGTCAGACGCTGCCGCACTCCTACAAGCCCCCGAGCTCCAGTAGGTCACACCGACACCCCCCCGCCGTTATCGTCACCATCGCTTTTGTGTATTTTATATATATATATTTCCAATGTTTTTGTTTTTTTTTCCCCCCACCCACAAATTTTTCCCGAAATTTGTGTTTCTTTATTTCGCTATCGGCATCTTTTCATTGGACGTGAAATCCATTTTGAGTCTCGAACGGAGCAGTGCGGTATATTTTGGCCGTCTACGGTGAAAAGAAAAGGCAGCCTGTTAAAACGTTGAAAGATAATGTCTCCAGTAAGTGAAAACATCGATATGTTTCGATTTAAAGCTCTCGTGACTGCAGGGATTAATTTTCTTGTAGACTGTAGCCTGGTTCTTAATCGGAGTGAGTGTACTAGCAGTCTATAATGTAGACTGTAGCCTGGTTCATATTCTTGGTTCTTTCGGTAAAGTCACGTAGAAGGGGAAACAATAAAACAGTAAAAATATAAAACAATCAAATTCTCACGACGTTTCGACTGCAACACAAGCAATCATCATCAGGTGTGAAAACCACAGCAAGAAAATGTATTGTTTTATATATTTTTATAATTTTATTGTTTCCCTTCTACGTGGCTTTACCGAAAGAACCAAGAATGTCGATATGTTTCTTACTTTTAAGTGGTTCAGAGTGCTGAACTGGCACGGATGAGATCCCGATTTCAGCCAGCCATCAATGACTGCGCTCGCCACAAACGAACCACAACACCTCGCTGATCTGGTCCAGGAGCATAAACCATCATCACGTGAACTCCCCCGGTCATCCTCGCAGCCAACGACTTTTGTTTAGCGATTGAACAAAGACGGTCACCGCATCGCGCGCTTTCAGATGCGCTTCTGCCACCATTTGGAATGCTCTTCCATCCGATATTAGGAAACAACTGGAGCTATGCACTTTTAAATCTCGATTGGAAACTAGTTTCTTATCGAACTGCTTTTTGTGTTTAGTTTGTTATCCTTCCCCCGCACCTCCCATTAGCACAACATGCATACATTGACTGCACGCAAAAAAAGGCAACACTTAAAAATCGGCCTGGACTTAATGCGGCTAAATTCCAGCTTCGGAGGATTAAATAATTAACAGGATCTCAGCGGTAGCTCTGTGATGTCCGCTTCCAATGTGCCGTTCTTTAACACACAATAGCCGCGCTGCTGTGCGTGCGATCCGAAAAAAAAATTTTGTGCCGGGATGCCAATCGCGAAATCGGTAGGAAGTTTGAGAAGAATGACTTAAAACAGGTTCCTTGTTTATTGACCCATTAGATCGCTTACAGATCACTTGATTGAATAATTTATCGCTTGATTTGAACTGAACGATGCGGACGATCATTGCCCCGCTTACTCCATCGCCGCGTTCAGAATCGGAATATTTGTTTACACCAGAGGAGGAATCCGATGAGCTATAAAGCTCTTTTTCACAGATGTCCAGTAGGGACACGGCGTCAGAACGTTTACAACATGATCGGAGTGCAAAGTATAGGAAAGGTAAGCAAATTTACAAAAAAAATGTTTTTACCAGCTCAGGCCCACTGAGCAACCTGGCCACCAATTATAGCTCAATGAAAGTGGCTTATCCTCATGTGGACATTTATAGCAGCCAAATAATCAAAATATATATTTTTTAAAGATACGTAAAGTGTTTTTTTTATTGAGGAATGCAAACAAGTTCGGTACAACGCGCCGGAGATTTCTGCGGGAAAGGTGGGGGGCAGAAAAACCGCGAGGGGGGAAAGGGGGAGCGACCCAGCGCTCGAGCGAGTCGAGGAGTGGGGAGAACGACAGCCGCCGTGTGCCCCCCACTTACGAGGGGCGGTGGTTGGTGGGGAAACGGTAGCCAACATTCTCGAGGTAGATCGGGTGTAGGATTGGCGGGGGAGACAAGAATCTAAATGATCTCAAGCGTTCTCTTGGCCGCTCGGACCGCTCGGACCGCTCAAGGCGACAAGGAGATCCTGGAGGAGGAGCCGGGCAAGCTGCCCGTGGGCGTCTCCATCCAGGGCCTGGTGAAGGTCTACGACGAGGGCAAGAAGCTCGCCGTCGACGGCCTGAGCCTCAACTTCTACCAGGGCCAGATCACCTCCTTCCTGGGACACAACGGGGCCGGCAAGACCACCACCATGTACGTCACGCCGGCCTGGCGCCGGCCACCGTGCCACGCCGCACCACCTACCACCACCCGACCCCACGGCGCCGTGGCCTCTTCGGCGCGGACGATGAGGGCGGCCGGATTTGGTCCGTCTCTTGCCGTGACGTTGGTAGCAAACGATATTGATACATATACTGGCAGTCCACGTATCTTTTTGGATGTGACATTTCCACCCTTCTCTCCATCCCTTCCTCTCTCCTTCCAGCCGGCCAGCCAGTGAGCAAAACTTTTTTCGAATTTAGGGGTACACTGCGTGGGTGGGTGGAGGGGTGGGAGTGGTGGTGAGAGGGGGGGTTGGAGGGGGGAGTGGGATGGCGGGGGGGGGGGGCGTGACGTGAATGTGTTCATGGGGCACTTAAAATAAAAAATGTCAGATTTTCAGACTTTTCCTGTTGTTTGTGTCCTCAAAGCCACCCATGTACCACGTTTCAGCTTTCTACCTTGTCGGGAAGTACCCCTGAGGTTTTTGAGACATACATACACAGATTCAGGTATTTATTTATATAGATACTACAATATGATGCACTAATAGAATTTGAAAACGCTCTTACGTTTCTTCCTAACCCCGTCTGTACCCCCACCTCGCCCGGACAGGTCCATCCTGACGGGGCTGTTCCCTCCCACGTCCGGCACGGCGTACATGTGCGGAAAGGACATCCGCACCGACATGGACTCGATCCGCAAGAGCCTCGGAATGTGTCCGCAGCACAACGTCCTGTTTGAGAAGTACGTGGGGCAGCCCTGTCCCCCCCATCCCACCGTACCGCTGTCCCACCATCCCACATTCTGTACTCAATACCCTGTACCTCATAGCCGACACCCTGTACCCCACACCCTGTCCCCCACATCCCACCGTACCGCTGTCCCACCATCCCACATTCAGTACTCAATACCCTGTACCTCATAGCCGACACCCTGTACCCCACAACCTGTACCCCACATCCCACACCCTGTACCCCACACCCCGTACCCTATTCCACATACCCTGACGATGCCCACCGCCATCCTTCACCGCCGTGTTGACGCAGCCTCACGGTGGAGGAGCACATTTGGTTCTACGCGCGCATGAAGGGCTGCTCGGAGGAGCAGGTGAAGCAGGAGATGCCGCAAATGATCCTGGACGTGGGACTTCCGCACAAGAAGAACGAGCTCTCCAAGAACCTCTCCGGTACGCGTGCCCGCCCGTGCCCGCTCCTGCCCGCCCGTGCCAGCCCGTGTCTGCCCGTGTCGGCCCGTGCGTGCCCATGCCAACCAATGCCCGTGCCTGCCCATGCATACCCGCCCGCATCCACGTGCCCGCCCCGGGTCGTCGACTTTGCAAAAAATATATAAAGTTGATTAATTTGCTCGCGGTAAAAATGTAATTGTTGTTGAATGCAGTTCGGTACGGTGTTGGCCGTTGAGACTACAAATGAGATTATTTTTTTTTTTTAACGAGACTGATATGGTACAGTTGAGTGGCACAATAGAAATGAGGCAGATTAAAATGGACGGAATCAAGGCTATAATGAGGGATCATTGTTTTTGTTGGTCGTCATGATTGAGGTTTTGGGGATAGTGATGATAGTGTTGGTGATTATGGTGATAATGACAGTGACACTGGTATTGACAATGACCCCCCAACTTAGCCTTTATCAGACTTTGGTCGCGAAAGCCTACATTTTAACGTCGTGATTTATTATTTATTTTTCTGCCTACGTGACTTTACCGAAAGAACCAAGGAGTATACTTTATCAGACTGTTGGGGCAAGTGTTAGCGGGCACCTGTGCAGACTGGCACGACGCACGAGGGGGTGGGTGGCCAGCACCACGCCTGGCCGCCTTTGTCTCCCCAGTGCCGATGTTTACACATCGCATCAGGCGTTAATTGAAGGCTGAGTGTGTCCTAGAGGAGGACCAGGACCGGTTCAGATAATGGTCACTGGCGTTGGTGGCCATGAGTGGGAATCGAACTCGCGCACACAAAAAGACAAATATCCCCCCTATAGACTTAACACGCTGTTGGGGCAAGTGCTATTAGCAAGTAGCCAAGCACTCATTTGCGGCCGAGTCGACCTCAAAATTACGCGCGCTCACACGTGCGTGCCTGTGCGTGCGTGTGCGTGCCTGTGCGTGCGTGTGCGTGCCTGTGCGTGCGTGCCTGTGCGTGTCTGTGCGTGCCTGTGCGTGCCTGTGCGTGCGAGTGCAGGCGGCATGCAGAGGAAGCTCTCCGTCGCCATCGCGTTCGTGGGCGGCTCGCAGATCGTCATCCTGGACGAGCCCACGGCCGGCGTCGACCCCTACGCCCGCCGCGGCATCTGGAACCTCCTGCTCAAGTACCGGCACGGTACGGCGCTCCCGCTGCACCCACACCACGGACAAAGATCCCCCCTATAGACTTGAACGGGCCGTTGGGGGGGGGCGAGTACCGTTAGCGAGCAGTGCCTATGAAGGCTGGCACGTGCGGCACACGAGGGGGTTTTGGGTGGCCAGCACCACGCCCGGCCGCCTTTGGTTCCCGAGTCCTCATCAAGGCTGAGTCAACCGACGTGGAGCCCAGGGCCGGGAATCCAACTCGGGTCGCCGAGTTTGCCACCGCTCCCGACGCACGCACACCGTGTCCCCCGCGCGTCCCTCCCAACTGCCGCTCGCCCCACGTCTCTCTTGCCGCTGATTTAAAAGTGGCTTTTAAAACGGTGCCGGCAACGAGAATATCTCCATGCCCCAGTATCTGCCACACGACTGTCCGCTGCTTCGCCACCCCGTTGTCCCGTGTCCCCTCCGTGTCTCCCCCGTGGTCCCCCCATCCCCCCCCCCCCACACCCCGTGTCTCTCTCCCTCTCTCATGTCTCCCATTGTCCTCTTTCCCCTCACCGTGCCCCTTGCCCACCGTGCCCCCTTCGGTGCGTCCCGCGTCTCCACCCCATGCCCCCCCCTCCCCCGCGCCCCCCACGCAGGCCGCACCATCATCCTGTCCACGCACCACATGGACGAGGCGGACCTCCTGGGCGACCGCGTGGCCATCATCTCCCACGGCCGCCTGCGCTGCTGCGGTTCGTCGCTCTTCCTGAAGAACGCCTTCGGCGCCGGCTACTACCTCACCATGGTGAAGAGCGAGCCGGGGTCGCGCCGACCTTCCACGGGAGCCGCCCATCTCTACCAAAACCTCGATCAGGTCCGTCCCCTGTGGTTACGTTGTAGTGGCGGCGGCGGCGGCGGTGATAACGATGGTGGGTTCGACCCCGACCCTTACGCCCGCTGTATATTTGGAGTTTGCGGTGTCTCTTTCTCTCTCCCAGCGGTCGCGTGGATTTTTCTCCCGGGTCCACCAGGTTTTTCCCCTCCGCGGTTTAGAATCGACGTCAAGCGTTTGGAGTGTTTGGCTGCTGCTGTCCATTTCCACGTGATAAGCCACTTAGTTGAGCTGTCATTTGTGGCCAGCTCGGTGGGCCTTACCTAGTACAATAAAAATAGTTTGTTGAAATTAGTGGTGTTGGTTTTAGCGGCAGTTAAGATGTTGACATCCATAATAGAGGTTTTTTTTTTTTGGGGTTGGATCTCGTAAATATATCAATGTGTCGTTAAAACCCGCCACCACCCGACACAGCCAATTAGTAAGGGTTGTCACGTAAACAGAACATGACAGTTCGTCGCAAATTGGCACGTTCTGTTTACGTAACAACCCTTACTAGTTGGCTGTGTCGGCTGGTGGCGGGTTTTAACGACACAACATTTATATATTTACGTGATCTAACCCCAGAAAAAACTCTCTTATAGATGATATTGGTCGCGAAAGCCGTGTTAAAGATGTTGACAGTGACGGTAGTGATCGTTGCGGTGGCAGAGATAATCCCAGCGGCTGTCAGTGGTCGTAGTACTAACTTTTGAGTTATTTGAGCCGAAGCCCTGCGGCCTCCTATATATATTAAAATGTTTTCGGGCAATTAATGAGTGTTTGCACGTATGGGGTTAAGTGTGGGAACAGTTCGGCAATGTTTTTGTCACCGCCAGGTGCGTTTTTAGGCGAGAGAAACGCTGAATGAGGACAAAGGAGAGCAGGGTGGGGAAAACGGTTCTCGATGGGATCGGAGTTTGGCATTCCCCCAGACGAGTTGTGTTATCGGAGTTTGCCGTTTGTGTTTACACCCTAGACGGACGGTCAGTCGCTGAGCTCGGACGAAGGACTGGGCAGCGAGTCGGGGAGCCATGGAGACATTGCCGGTAAGCGCTAATGGGGAGAGCATTTAATGCTGATGAATGCGATGAAGGTGATGATGATCGTGATGGTGGTGATTGTTCCGAACATGCTTATTACAGCGGGGACAGTGACTGAAGATGGTGATAATCGTAACGACGATGATGATGATGATGACAATGGTGATTATGAAATATGATGATAACGATTAGAAATGTCGTGATGGCGATGATGATGACATTGACGATAATAATAATAATAATCATGATGGTGGCAACAATTATGATGATAACAGTGATGATGAAGATGATCGTGATGATTGATGATGATGCTGATGCTGGCGACATTGGTGACAAAAGTGATGACGAACCTGATGAAAGTAATAATCATTACACTCATCAAGTTGGCAAATCGTGCTCACCTCTGATTAGCACGGTTGGCTACATACGGTGTGAAAGAAGTTCAACATACGTACATACACGATGTTCACAGCAATGATGACGGCTATACGACAGCGATGGCAATGATCGTGATGATGTCGACAATGGCAATGATGACAACGATGACAAAAACAATGACGACGATGATGACCATGACGATGATCGTGACGATGGCGGTGATGACGACGATGAACTCGACGATTGGCGACAATGACGATGAACAAAGCGAGGAAGGCGATGACGGTGATGATGACGACGACGACGACGACGACATGCCGCGTGGTGTGCAGACGTGAGCGCGGTGACGCAGCTGCTGCAGCAGCACGTGCCCGACGCCCGGCTCGTGGAGAACTTTGGACAGGAGCTGACCTACGTGCTGCCCTACCACGGCGCCAAGGACGGCGCCTTCGCGCTGCTCTTCAAGGAGCTCGACGAGAAGCTGGCGGAGCTCGGCGTCTCGAGCTACGGCGTCTCGGACACCACCCTCGAGGAAGTGCGGCACCCAACGCACGCACGGACGCGTACAGACGCGCGCACGTGCAGACACACACAGCGGTTAGCGCGCTCTGCTTTGAACACGGCGAACTGAGTTCGATTCCCGCTCACGGCCAACACCAGCGAAGGTTATCTGAATCGATCCTGGGCCTCCCCTAGGTCGACTCGGCCTCAAATCAGTGCCTGATGTGATATGTGAACATCGCCACCGGGAAAACAAAGGCGGCCGGGAGTGGTGCTGGCCGCTCACCCCCTCGTGTGCCGTGCCGACCTTCATAGGTGCTGCTGCTCACTAACAGCACTTGCCCCTACAGCCTGTTATGACTATACGGGGGATCTTTGTCTTTGTTTTTCCACTGCCAGTGCAAAGCTGAGCCTGACCCAGACGGAGGTGGAGTTTTGGGGTAGCTCTCTTGCGAAATCACAACAACAAACCTTGCATCTGTTTTGTTTCATCAGATCTTCCTGAAAGTTGCTGAAGAGACTGGAGTAGACACAGAAATTATAGGTGAGGCATTGGACGGTTGTTATAAACTGTATTATTATAATTGTTTAAGTTTACAGCCCTTTGTCAATCCACTGCTGGGTGGAGGCCTTTCCACGCCGTGCCGGTCGTGCGGCTTGTTTGACCATACTTCTCCACCCTGGTCGGTGGGGGGGGTGGGGTTGGTGAAAGGCATGCCCAGGAAATGGGCCGGTTCAGATGTCAGTTGCCGCTGATTTTAGCCACAGTCAAGAAGCGGACTCAAGTTGCCAGTTTTATAGTACAGCCACTGCAATGCTGTTCCCCTCCCACCTCATTTTAATACGCTACAGCCATCCTGAGCGGTACAATATAATTGATAAATGTACTGTATTGTGAACGGAGCAATCAATCACTCAATCAACAAATCCTCGTACTTAAACATCTGCTGCTGAGCTGTTTCACACATTAGGTGCGATCTTCATCTAGAGTTACGCACCTTAGAGGCCACGGTCATCTATGCCCATTAAATATTGTGCGCCTTATGAAACTGCATTATTATTCTTCAGTTCGTACCCCGTGCACCGACTCCCATTGCAACGGTATTGCTAGCCAATCGCAGGCAGCCACGAGTATCATCATGTGACCATGTAGGCGCACGCTCCAGTCATGTGACTGCGGGAGGCCAATCGAACTGAGCCTGTGACATCACTTCGCTGCCCCCGCCCCCCTTAACTGAATATCAGTGAATGTGACGCACGTGTTGTCGCTCGAACGGATCGCCAACATTGTGTTGCGGAGCGAGCGGCTCACTCGGTTTGTCCTCCCCTGGCACACAGAGCCGCTGGTGGTGCCGCCGCCGAAGGAGGTGCCGCGAACGCCCGAGGATTCCAACTGGGAACGTCGCTCCCTGCGCAGGAAGTCGAGCGGCCGGGCGGAACGAGCTCTGAAAAAGACTCCGGAAGGAGGTTCGTTTTTTTCTCTCCGCTCGGCACCCCCCGGGTGCCCCCTCCCCCCCCCCGGTTTTTTAAACGACGCCAACGCGCCGTAGCTCTCTCGCCTTGTCGGCAGATCGTAATGATAGTGATGATTTCAGCTTTGTAAGACGCTCACACATGTAGGATGGACAGCAACGGGAACATTTTAAGTGTGTTGTTCGTAAAAATGGACGGAACCGCAAAGACAGCAAGACCTAACGGAGTATGGCTTGATGATGACACAAGAGACTGGTGCCAGAAAGACGTGCGCACTACTTGAGCATGTTGGCACAAGACAGAGGAAAGTGGAAACAAATGACGAAATGTGAAGTGAACACCTACAGGCTATCTGCCCATGGATCGTGATGATGATGAACACGCTCACCCTCGAGGAGAGAGGACAACTCGGAGGCGCGAGGAACCACACGGGATTAGCAGGAAGGCGGCCGGGCAGTGAGATGGCACCAAATTCTCCCCGATCCAAGCTCTACAGTCCTCTAGATATTAAGATGTTATCGGCCAATGAACAAGTGTTTTACATGTGGGACACAACTGGAGCGCCCGGGTAAAACCCACACGTGCGAGGGGGCAACACTGTATCCCATACAGGTAGAGTCCACATTTTATTTGTATCGAGCCTCTCCTAGCGAGTCAGGGTTACGTCTCCTCCTCCTCGATGTTCATGGGCAGAGGTACCTTCTCAACATCTGTGCGGTGATCCACGAACCCTCACTGCTGCCTCCGCACGGTGCTGGGAGAGTAAATCAATAGGATAACCACTGTTGTTGACTCCCCCCCCCCCCCACAAAGTGGTATAATATTTTATTGACCCCGGAGAGATGATGGGCTGAGTCAACCCAATTGCGGTAATTAATCATTTCCCATTCTGATGACGCACACGAACGTGTGCATTATTAACGCTATATATTAGTTGCACCGATTAGAAGAATGTTGTACAAAGAACTTTCAAGCCATGATCTATAATCACACACTGTAAGTGGAGAAGAAAGTAAAAATATAGTACAGTAGAAATACTAACTAACTTTACTAACTTTTTACATTACCAGGTAAGATGCACTGAGCGATGTAGCTCTTTTTCAGAAGTGACCAGGCCGAAAATGATAGCTCACCGAAGTGGCTTATCATGTGGAAATTGATATCAGCCAAATACTCTAAACGCACGTTGATTCTAAATGTGGAGGGAAAATCCAGAGGACCCAGAGAAAAATCCACGCGACCACGGGGAGAGAGAGACACGCAAACTCCAAATATACAGCAGCAGCAGGCGTCACGGTCGGGATCGAACTCACGACCTCCTGCATACCTGGCGAGGTAGTTAACATCTCCTAGCCACCGTGATGATGATGAGAGAGAGACACACAAACTCCAAATATACAGCAGCAGGCGTTAGGGTCTGGATCGAACTCACGACCTCCTGCATACCAGGCGAGGTAGTTAACATCTCCAAGCCACCGTGATGATGATGAGAGAGAGACACGCAAAATCCAAATATACAGCAGCAGGCCTGAAGGTCTGGATCGAACCCACGACCTCCTGTAGACCAGGCGAGGTAGTTAACATCTCCTAGCCACCGTGGCACCCCAGACAAAATGCAGACAGGAGGTTATGGAAATCTGACATCGTGTTCTTCATCATGTGATAATTGATGTCGTATTGTAACAAAAAATGTACCTCACGGTTTCCCCTCTTAATAACGTCCGCCGCCATTATCGCCGCCGCCATTTTACCCACGGTGGGCGCGTTACCGCCCGTGCAGAGAAGAAACCGGCGTTTCGTACAAGAGGTACCCACGGAAATCTATGTAGCCATGCTTCCGTCTCGTGGTCCCGTGTCCTGGTGTCCCGCTTGGCGATGTTTGATTGTACGTCGTGTCGTCGTCAGCCGTGATCTATCGGCTGCTGGATGTAGGCCTCTGAAAGCTTGATTGTTGCACATGCCCCTCACACACACACACACACACTTGCAGACTCATAAATCAGATGCCGTGTGGGTAATTGATGAACAGGGTGGCTACGTGTCTTTTAGGGGATGGGGGTGGTTGGGTGTGTGTGGGGCTTGTGGGGTGGGTGCTGACGATGCGTATGTCAGGGCAGTCCGTCATCACCACGTGAAGGCTAAATTCGATTCTGGCTTCAACACAAACTGGACCGCAGCGCACCTCCTAATTTATGCTACATTTTATTATGTGCTTTCGTGACTGCAGGAATTACTCTCTGGTTTTTTTGCTTTATATAGTTTCCAAATTTTTGCTTAACCCTGTTTGATTTAGTGTGCTCCTCCGTCTCTCTCTGTGTCCCCTGGTGTGTCTGTGTTAATTCCCTCTACTTAGGGTCCGTATATATATCTGCGGTTATGTGTTTCCTCTCTCTCTTAAATTTAGCTCTTCTGTACCTGATGATGATTGCTTGTGTTGCAATCAAAACGTCGTATGCTATTATATAATTTTATTTTTTAATTATTTCTACGTGACTTTACCGAAAAAAACAAAGAGTTATGCTACATTCCCAAGCGCCTGTTTTTCCGGGCCGTTCCTGGAGTGTTCACGATGATGGTACGGTGGTGGTACGATGGTGGTACGCCATAAAACGGCCCCGATCCTGGGCTCCACGGTGGGCTTGGCCGTTTTGAAGTTGACCAAAAAAATTCGACGAAATTATTCCGTTAACATTCCACGTGCCCTCCTCCACCGTTGGCCGCACGACGCCAACGACTGTTTCCGCAAAGGGAGCTACCGCGGCATGGACGCAGCTCGCAGGCTGCCGTGGGAATCCGGCCTAGGAACCCAGCGTCGTCACTCAAACTCTTGGCCCTGCTCTCAACCCAACCCATCCCACCCTATGGCCGATTGCATCAAACTCCGTCACCCTTTGCCGTTCCGATGACGTGCACGTACACGTACGTCATCGGAACGGAACCGGATGAAAAACTAAAATAAAATGACTTTATCGTTACCGAGGCTTCCACAGTTTTGGCGCCATCTATCGTAGAGTGCGGTCACGGCACTACGGCTCTCTGCGGTGAGTACAACGGCGCTATGCCTCCTCTATAAAAAATGAACGCTGAGCCGCTAGCACGTTCCGAGATCCCGCGGTGGACGGGACACCCGCACCCTGCGTCTCGGAAACGGAAAAAGGGCTTAGTGGGAATGTCCCCGAATGTATCCCCCTTTTTTATTCGGACGGACAACTACGGGGAATTCGAACTCGCGTGGTCTTTTCACGGGACCGATCGCAGGTCGCATGATGGGAGACGCGATGCCACGTCGGAATTAACGCTTTGAAGCCTTGAAAAATCGCGGCGGCAGCCTTTATTTTTAATTTGCTTTTATGCCGTCGTGGGTCCCCGTCGCATGTGAATGTGCAGCTGTGCGTCGCGTGAGTATAGCCCAGCAGGTTCACATCGATGATATCATCTTGCTCGATTTAAGACCGGAAGCCGGTGGATTGCTTCACTATTCCGGCAAATCACCCGATGATGCCGGTTGTAATTACGAGCGAAACGTCACGGTGCTCAAATTGTAAACGTTGTGGATTTACCCTCCAACACACCGGTGGGCTGAAGTAGTAAACTATTTGGCGCGTCGTGCTTGCGTGACAAATCCCTTACTCGCTGTGTCGGGTGGTGGGGGGTTACGACACATTTACGCTTACGCGATCTAAACCCCCCCCCGAAACAAAATTTTGTTCGTCAATAATATTTGGTCGCGAAAGCCTGCTACGTGTTGAACTGAGGAGCCCTGTCGTGTCGCTTCACCGTGCGCTTGGTGTTGTTTGTGTGTAATGTGCGCGTCGCGTTTGTCTCTCGGTTTGGGGGAATCTGCCAAAGGCGCCAGGTTTAGTTTCCGGCCTCTGAAACGGAAGGGACGAAAATGAGCTTCCAATCTGGCGTCCTTGGACGCGCGTACGTGTTGGTGTAAAAAACTAGTAATCAATTATGTTAATAATTAGTCGCTCCACTGCTGGATGGAGGCCTCCGCCACACCTTACGGGGCAGTTTGACCCTCCTCCTTCACCTGCCCCCACACCTCCGATGAGCACGATTGCCTAAGAAGTGCAACATGCATGCGTATACACGTCACCGTCAGTGATGTGGGTCAGTGGCAGGGTAAGGGATCGAATCTGATTTTAACCGGGTGGCCCTCAGTCCAGGGGTGTAGTGACAAACGACGGCCCCGGTGTGTTGGAATGACGTCGTGTTTGGCACGGCGTGCGTGTGTGCGTGTGTGTGCGTGTGTGCGCGTGTGCGCGTGTGTGCGCGTGTGTGCGCGCGTGTGCGCGTGTGTGCGCGCGTGTGTGTGTGCGCGCGTGTGTGTGTGTGCGCGTGTGTGCGCGTGTGTGCGCGCGTGTGTGTGTGTGCGTGTGTGTGTGCGTGTGTGTGTGCGTGTGTGTGTGCGTGTGTGTGTGCGCGTGTGTGTGCACGTGTGTGATCCTCCCGCGTGCAGTGAAACCCACCGGTGACGCCGTGGACAACGGACGGGGATCCTGCCAGATCACGGGACAGGCGTTCCTGCGGCAGCAGTTCCGAGCGCTCTTCATCAAACGCTTTCACTTCGCCAGGCGCAGCCGCAAGGGCTTCGTGGCTCAGGTCGGGTTTAACAACAAACAAAAAAAAACGCTCTCTCATCACCTCTGTCCGTCCGTGTTTTTGTCTGCCTGTCTGTCTGTAACGCAAGGTCACGACAACACTGTAAAGATTACCCCCCCCCCCTGCCCGCTCGGCGTGAGCGGAAACTTTTGGTGTCAAGTTGCGTCGCCGTTAGGGATTTGCCTCCTCCTCCGCCCCCACCCTCCCCGATCTTTAAAAAAAACCCGGGCTACATTCGTTAAAAGGGTCGCCCAGAGACCCGAACCGGATCGAAGAAGAGGATCGATCCCCGCCTCGGCGCCCTCGCAGCCGAGAGGCGTCTCCTCCCGTGGCGTTTGTCCGACCCGCCATTGCCTCGTCAGGGACTCCGGCCTCCTGCGCCGTTGTCGTCGTCGCTGCTGATAAAAAATTCGCCGGGTGCAAATGCGCGTTGGAGAGCGTCGCGCTAGAATCCGTGCGTGCGCGTGAATTTTTTTTTATTCCTCTTCGTCCCCTCTGTCTCAAACCGGCATGGAACATTTTTAAAACCCAGACAGAATAAACATTTTCAGGAAATGTTGCAGTACACTGGGGGACATTTTATAATCCTAACTCATTGGCGGTCTTGTCAGAAGTGATGGGCTCAGCGGAGTGTACTGCGCTACGAACCCGGCGACCCGAGTTCGATTCCCGCTCACGGCCAACACCAGTGACGATTATCAGAACCGGTCCTGGGCCTCCCCTAGGTCGACACAGCCTCAAATGAGTACCTGGTGTTGTGTGTAAACATCGCCACTAGGGAGACAAAGGCGGCCGGGCTTAGTGTTGGCCACCCAACCCCTCGTGTGCCGTGCCGGCCTTCATTGGTGCTCGCTAAAGGCACTTGCCTGTTAACGGCTATATGGAGGATCTTTGTTGTGCCAGTCATCTCAATCAAACCATGGCACCTGCGTCTATTCCGTATCCTGGCACAAGCGCCATGGTGACGTCTCCGCCACTTAGTGGTGAATGGCGGTTATTGTGGTGTGTGTATGCATGTGGGAAGCAGTAGTGCAGCAGTGAGCGCCCTGCGCTGTGAACCCAGCGACCCGAGTTCGATATTCGCTCACAGTCGTGGGTCTCCCCTAGGTCTACTCGGCCTCAAAATGAGTGTGTAGACATTGCCAGGGGAGATGAAAGCGGCCGGGCAGGCGTGGTTGCTGGCCACCCACCCCCTCGTGTGCCGTGCCGGCCTTCATAGGCACCGCTGCTGCTGCACTCGAACAGCGCTCGCCCCAACAGTCCGTGAAGGCTGCGTAACGTCCTTTGCCCCCCTCGTGTCCGCAGATCGTTTTGCCGGCGGCTTTCGTGTGCCTCGCGCTCATCTTCAGCAGCGTCGTGCCTCCGTTCGCGGAGTACCCCAGCCTGGAGCTGCACCAGTGGCTCTACGGAACGCAGTTCACCTTCGTCAGGTGAGGCGGCCTCCGTGTGGCCCTCGCGTCCGCACTCCCCGTGCGCCTCGAGGTCGGGGCGGGGGGGGGAAGAGGGGCGGCAGTGGCCACCACTGACGCTGAAATCATCCCTTGCTTTGAGTCGCAGGTTCTTGTATGTGTAGTGAGTTCCGGAGACACTTTGTAGAGGCGACGCGTTTATTTTAATGCACAACAGCCACAGACCTTCGTATACAGACTAGGGACTCGGCCTACGTCTAGCGTGCCTGACACCGGCTACGCTCTCAGGTCCTCCGGCTACGGATTACCTAGGGGAGGTTATCCTGACCCGACCCAGCCAAGGTGCGGGTCTAGACCATTGGCTTCCTCGGGCCTGGCCCTTACCAGGACGTCAGGCCGGGAGTCCCAGGGTCTCGCCGCTGGCCCGCACAGAGCCCCGGCCCTTACAAGGACAGCGGGGCTAGGGGGTCCAGGGTCCTAAGCTGGCTGGTCTTCTGGCTTCTGCCTTCGACTGGCCCCGAACCTCTGGAGAGGTCCGCTTATATACACCTTCCCTACCGAGGGGCGGGGCTGCGTGGGATCCTGGAACACCCCGCAGCCCCTCCCGTGGGGAGGGGCAGTGGGGGATCCCAGAAGTCCCCACAGCCTCTCCTGCCTTTGGGCTGGGCAATGCAGCAACTCTCCTGCCGGTACGAGGTACCGCCCTTGATGGGCCCTGTCGTCCACTGCAGGCAAGCGTGGCCCATCTCCGGCGCTACATACGTATGGGTGTTGAACTTCTTTTGCGCCGTACGTGGACAACCGTGCTAATCGAAGGTGCGGGGGGATTGACAACAAACTAAACACAAAAAGCAGTTCTAAAGAAATGAGTTTTCAATCGAGGTGTAAAAGTGCATCGCTCCAGGTGGCTTCTTAATATCGGAAGGAAGAGCGTTCCAGACGTCATCGGAAGTGAATCGGAATAAAAGCTAATGACGTGCACGAACTTGTGATCGTACGTCATTGGAATGGGAAAGTGTTAAGTGGTGTGATTTTGAATGGTGTGATGGTTTTAAGTTTTTTATTTATTTGCCATCATTCCCTACCCCCCCCCCCTCCCTCGTCTCGTCCAACCCCAGCAACGACGCCCCCGGCGAGAGCCACGTGAACGCCCTGGCACGGTCCCTGACGGAGTCTCCCGGGTTCGGCACCCGCTGCATGAACACCAACCCCATCCCGTGAGTGTTGCCGGCCCGCCTGCTGGAGCTGGCGACCTTTTCTGGGAGGCTCAGCAGGGACAACGTGGTGCGGGCCGTCTTAGCGGCGTGCCCACGCTGACCTCCTTGAAGCATAAATAACTCAAACATTTGTCGATAACACTTGCATAGGCAAAGTATACGAGAGGGGACTGTCTGGGCAATGGGCCTTTGTCACAGCACGTGGCGAGATAGATTTTATTTTAATGATCAGTGCTTGCCGACCACTGCCAACGCCCGAGTTCACTCTCGTGGCGGAGGGACACTCGCGTGACGTGTAAATCGGATCCTTGCTCCCCCGTGTAGCGATTTTTTTTTATATATATAACGTGCCATTTTATTTATTGAGGGGGGACTGTGTGTTGTCTTGGTGTGGTCTGGGACTGTGTTTGTTGTTGTACTGCCTTGCCCAAGCTTGGCATTGAGTGTTGTAAAATCTGACTTGTGCACTTTATCCATGAACATTTGGTGACTTTTGCGTACCCATTTTGCACGCCCTTTTCCGTTGTTTTGTCTCGCGTTTGTTTCTTGTTACTTTCTGACCCCGTGACATTTGCGACGTAAAAAGAGCTTCATAGCTCATCGGATTCCTCCTCCAGTCCAAACACAAAGATTCTGATTCTGTGCACACACAGAGCGCTTCACTGTCCCTGCACTGCCCCTCTCTCTGGGTTCAAAACCTGGTGAAAAGATTTTTTTTTAAAAAAATTCTAACAAACTGCCAATCTCCGTGTGCCCCCCCCTCCCACCCCCACCCTCCGCAGCTTGTACCCATGCCCAGGCGGCGGGAGCCCAGACTGGACTCAGCCGGCCATGAGCGCCGATGCCTCCAGCGTCCTGCAAAGCGGCAACTGGAGCATGAGCAACCCGTCACCCGCGTGCCAGTGCAGCACCCAGAAGCACCGCGTCATGTTCCCCGAGTGCCCCGAGGGGGCGGGCGGCGCCCCCCCCATGCAGGTGATTTGCCGCGGTCCCTTACCCGTTGTTTATTATTATTATTATTAATATTCGTTTTTAATATTCAAAATTTTCCCTCGCTGGTGCATCTGAGCTGCGCCCTCCCCCCCTCCCCCCCCAACTGGACGTTTCCCGTTGCCGAGCCGGAAGAAGCCGAACCGTGACGGCACGCCGGGCCTGGCCGGACGGCGTTTTTTTGTTTGTCTCATCTCCACGAGCGGCGTTCGTTCGAACGCGGGAGGTTTCGCAGTCGCTCTGCGGGCGATCCGAACGGATTTCCGCGCTCGCGCGAACAAATCGCTGTCACTCGGAGGTGGGCCAAGCATCCCGCTGTGGAACCTTCCAACAAAAAAAATTGGCGTTGGGACATTATTAAAGTCTTGCTTGGGCAGCAAATGGAGCAATATCGTTGTGATTGATAATACTGTAAAACCTTGGATTCCGAGCATGATTCGTTCCTGAAACGTGTTTGTAATCGAAAGCACTCGTATATCAAAGCACTCGTATATCAGTTGTGATCACGTAACGCTCGGCAGACAAAGCGTGTACGTACTACTCATATTGCAAGACCTCACTCGTTTATCAAATTAATATTGTAAATTTTTGCTCGTCTTGCAAAACACTCGCAGACCAAGTTACTCGCAATCCAAGGTTTTACTGTATCCATCTGGGGGGATGGCTTAGTTTTATTTGTACGCGTTTGGGTGAATTGTTTACCTTTCCTGTACTTTGCTCTCCTATCGTGTTTTTGTCCTGTTTGTTTGTTGTAACGTTCTTACCCGCCCCGATTGGACATCTGTGAAAAAGAGCTTTATAGCTCATCGGATTCCTCCAGTATAAAGAAATATTATGATTCTGAATAAATATATATATATACCTCATCGCCGTAACGCAACGCCAGCAGCAACGATCGGGGATACGATAAAAAGCAGAAGAGGAGAGCAGTTTCCTAGCGTGTCCTGCGTCCTTGACATTTTCAGAGACTGCAAAACAACACGGACACCCTGCAGAATCTGACGGCATTCAACATCACCGACCACATCCTGAAAACGCTGCCGAAATACTACAAAACCAGGTGCCGCGGAACGCGTGCCCACACAAAAATAAAACAAAGATCCCCCCGTGTAGCCTTAACAGACTGTTGGGGCAAGTGATGTTAGCGAGCAGCTATGAAGGCCGGCACGGGACACGAGGGGGTGGTTGGCCAGCACCACGGCCGGCCGCCTTTGGCGATGTTTTTACACACCGCAGCAGGTACTCATTTGAGGCTGAGTCGACCTAGGTGCGGCCCAGGACCGGTTGAAATAATCGTCAACGGTGTTGGCCGTGAGCGGGAATCGAAATCGGGTCGCTGGGTTCGTAGCGCAGCGCACTAATCGCTACACCACCGCTCCCCGTATGCACGCACACACACACACACACGCGTGCGTGTGTGTGCAGATGGGCACCCGGGGTGATTTATGCGGTCCGAAAATATTTCCACGTTTAATTTAAATTTATTTTTTTAATCTCCAAGCATTCTCTGTGTCCGTAGAGAGGGAGACAAATCGCAAGTGATGTCCTCGGGAACTGACTGGCAAAAATTTCGTGGATTAAATGTCTTTAAAAAAAAAACACGCTTTGACAGTTAAGAAAGCGGAGTGGGCTTGAGCAGAACTCGTCACGAGATGGAATGATGACCAAGAATCTTCCGCGTCAATCGAAAACCAAATGTTTTTACGCGATGAGGTTTTCTTGTTTTTCGTTTATCATTGACCAACCTGCCACCATCGACCTGCCGCGGTTTTCAAGAGGTCGTGGGTTCGATCCTGACCCCGACGCCTGCTGTATATTTGGAGTTTGCGTGTTTCTCTCCCCGTGGTCGAGTGGATTTTTCTCCGGGTCCTCCGGTTTTTCCCTCCACATTTAGAATGAACATCACGCGTTTGCAGTATTTGGCTGCTATACATTGCCACGTGATAAACCACTTCTTTGAGCTATCATTTGTGGCCAGGTCGCTTCTGAAAAAGAGCTATGAGGCTCAGTTGGGCCTCATCTGGTTAAATAAAAATAGTTTTCTGGCCAAACTAAGTGCAAAAGCGACTATAACAATGGTTTATTTTGTGGATTCATCGGTGACCAGGCTGAGACCATTAAACTCTTCCACACGTGAGAGGCCAGCTCATCTACAAGCGACTGATGCCCAGGATTAAAACCCAGGATCTCGCGTGGGGTTGTGTGGGGGTAGGGTGCGGTGTTGATTGTAACGAACAGCTGTCCCCCCCCCCGCGGTGTGCTGCAGACACGGCGGGATTTCTGTCGGAGACAAGAACGGCGTAGTTCGGATGACGGCCGCCGACCAGTCGCTCCTCCTCGCGCGCTTCGGCAAGATGTTCAACTTGAGCGTGGTGCGTCCACCTCTCCCGCTCGCTCTCTCTCTCGCTCGCCCTCTCGCTCTTGTGCGGGGTGCGCATCGAGGTCAAGGTTGAGAGGTCATCTCGGCCAGTGCCGCTGATGCCACCGACACTTTGCCTTCGCCGCCTTGGGTGCGTGTCGATACGTGTCTGTCTGTGTGTGCGCGTGCGCACCGGTGGGGAGCGGTGGTGTAGCGGTTAGCGCTACGCTGCGCTATGAACCCGGCGACACGGGTTCGATTCCCGCTCACGGCCAGCACCGGTGACGATTATCTGAACCGGTCCCGGGCCTCCCCTAGGTCGACTCAGCCTCGAATGAGTACCTGGTGCGGTGTGTAAACATCGCCACTGGGGAGACAAAGGCGGTCGGGCGTGGTGCTCGCCACCCACCTCCTCGTGTACCGTTACCGGCCTTCATAGGTGCTCGCTAACAGCACTTGCCCCTACAGTCTGTTACAGGCTATACGGGGGATCTTTGGATCTTTGTGCGCACCGGTGCTGACCTTCATAGGTGCTGCTCGCCAACAGGATTTTCCCCAACAGTCTGTTAAGGCTATACGGGGGCGATCTTTTGTCTTTGTTGCGGTGGTGAGCGGTGGCGCAGTGGTTGGCGCGCTTGCGCTGCGAGCCGAGATCGATTTCCCGATCGCGGCCAACATCGGTGACGAATATCTGAACCGGCGCTGGGCCTCCCCTAGGTCGACTCAGCTGTATATGAACACCTGGTATGGTGTGTAAACATCAGCACTGGCGGAAGTAACGGCGGTCGGGCATTGCCCCAACAGTCTGTTAAAGGCTGTACGGGGATCTTTGTCTTGTATGTGGATGCCGCATGGCGGCCGTCGTTGTGATTGTTGTGTGGAGGTGTGCGCCACATTTAGAATATTGGCGAGTTGTGGTCCACCACAACCACCACCGCAACCACCATCACTTGACTATCATCGTCACCGTCATCGTCATCATCGTTGTCGTCAATGAACGCGGAATGTCTCTTGTGCAGCCTACCGTGGGCTCGTCAGGAGTGACAATCGAAGACTTCATTGGGACACGAAACAACCTGAAGGTACCAACACTACCGTCACCGTTCACGTGAACGGCATCGAATGACTGCTCACACCAAGGGAACGTACCGAAGTAGCAATAATAACACTGGAATCTCTGGACGTTACAAAAACGCGCGTTGGAGGAGAGCGGACTGTACGTGTTAACGGTTAGGTTAATAATATTTTATAACGTGCGGTGCGGAGAGGAGGGGGGGGTGGCGGGCGGGGGGGGGGGGGTGGGGGGTGCGGCACGTTACCGTGGCGTCTGAGCGCCCGCGACCCGTGTCCGGCCACAGGTCTGGTTCAACAGCAAGGCCTTCCACGCCCCTGGGGCCTTCACGAGCGTCGCGAGCAACGCGGTGCTGCGCGCGGGCCTTCCCGCGGGGGCCGACCCCTCGGACTACGGCATCACGGCCTTCAACCACCCGCTGAACCTCACCAAGGAGCAGCTCACGGACGTCATCGCGTGAGTGCCCGCATCGTTTGCTCCGCTGTTCTGAGCGGCATTGCGCTCGCCGCGCGGAGAACCGTAGCGGACGCCGACGCTGCGCCACGCGCACTTTCCCGCACGGAGCTTTTACTTCCGATTCCGTTCGGAATCGATTTTTTTTATTCCCGTTCCGACGACATGGCACGTACGCAATCGTGACGGGAGAGGGTTCAAAACGGGAGAGGGTTCAAAACGGGAGAGGGTTCAAAACGGGAGAGGGTTCAAAACGGGAGAGGGCTCAAAACGGGAGAGGGTTCAAAACGGGAGAGGGTTCAAAACGGGAGAGGGTTCAAAACGGGAGAGGGTTCAAAACGGGAGAGGGTTCAAAACGTGAAAGGGTTCAAAACGGGAGAGGGTTCAAAACGTGCTTTGCGACGGCCGCGCCGTCTCCTTCGGCAGGAGGTCGTCGGGGATCGACGTGGTGGTGGCCATCTGCGTGATCTTCGCCATGTCCTTCGTGCCGGCGAGCTTCGTGCTCTTCCTCATCCAGGAGCGCGTGAGCAAGGCCAAGCACCTGCAGTTCGTGAGCGGAGTCAACCCGGCCATCTACTGGATCTGCAACTTCGTCTGGGATATGGTGAGGGGTGGGTGGGGGGGCGGTGGAGGGCATTGGGAGTTGGGGACGCGGGGAGGGGGGGGGCACTGACGTCAGCGCGGTGACGTAAGGGGGCAGCACTAATTTACTTGGAGAATGCTATGACACGTGACCGTCACACATTTACAGCGCCAGACATGTTACGCGTGAGGTGGACGTCAGCCCAACGTAGCCACAGAGCCGCGTGACAGCCGCCTCCTCCAGCACGTGCAGGGCAACAACCGGTCCGTGCCCGGCACGCCCTGACGGACTTCACAGCCGGAGACGACGGTGCGCCATTGGCCTCCTGCTCCCTGCATATTCACACAGCGGGGCTGCCGCGCAGTCGTACGATGCCCCATCCATGTTCGGGAGCGGCACACAACGCCATGCCCTGGTCACACCGGCAGCGGTTCAACTGAACCCTGGGAGCACGAATGTCACGGTGACACTCAGGAGGGCGCCGGTGAGAGAGGGGAGGCGGCGGTGGTGGTACTAATGTAGCGACAGCGCTCGTGAGGGAGGGAGGGGGTGGGGGGTGGGCGATACTCATGAGAAGTGCAGCGCTCGTGTCACGGGATGTTACCGCCTTAAGAGTAACGTGACAGGAAGGGGGGCTGGGGTGGGGGGGGGGCGTCCCAAAGTTGTCGGAGCGACATCGTCCAGCACCATTTGAAGGCGTTCGTTACGAGAGCGGACACACTCGTCGTCGTCGTCATCGAGCGTGCCTCCCTCGCGGCGTCTCACCCCCGCAGTGCAACTACGCGGTCCCCACCGTCATCGTCATCGTCATATTCCTCTGCTTCCAAAAGCAAGCGTACGTGTCTGCGGCGAACCTTCCCGTGCTCATCCTGCTGCTGTTCCTCTACGGGTGAGTCGCCCCCCCACGCAGTCCCCCCCCCCTCGCCTCGCGTCTCCCCAAGTCGCCGTGGTTATCGTTTGCAACGCTCTGTTTTCCTCCCCGGCGATATCCGCTCTCCGAATGTATGTTGAGCTTCTTTCTAAACTTGAAAATATGGAAACTTTTTTTTATTTTAAGGTCAGGATCAAACCAAACCCATGATCTTTCTGCATACCAGGCAAGGTACTTAACATCTCCTAGCCACGGTGATGATGAGAGAGACATGCAAACTCTAAATATACATCAAACATCAGGGTCAGGATCGAACCCACGACCTCCTGCATACCAGGCGAGGTAGTTAACATCTCCTAGCCACCGTGATGATGATGATGATGAGAGAGACACGCAAACTCCAAATATACAGCAACCGTCAGGGTCAGAATCGAACCCACGACCTCGTGCATACCCGGCGAGGTAGTCAACATCTGAGATATTGGCCGTGCGAGAGCCTGCGCTCGTGCGTGGGATCCGCCCGACGTGGACTCACCGTGCGCCGCTCCCCCGCGTGCTGCAGGTGGTCGATTACCCCGCTGATGTACCCGGCGTCGTTCGTCTTCTCGGTGCCCAGCACGGCGTACGTGGTGCTCACCTGCATCAACCTCTTCATTGGCATCAACGGCAGCGTCGCCACCTTCGTCCTGGAGCTCATCAAAGACCAGCCGGTCAGTCCCGCTCGCGTGCCGTCATGGCCTTCATAGGTGCTGCTCGCCAACAGCACTTTCCCCAGCAGCCTGTTGCAGGCTTTACGGGGGACCTTTGTGTCTATATTTATGCTTATCTTTACGTGTGTGTGTGTTTGTGTGTGCCCTCGGGAGACGTAGTGTAGCGGTTCGCGCGCTGCGCTACTGAAGCCAACGCCCCGGGTTCGATTCCCGCTCGTGGCCAACACCGGTGACGATTATCTGAATCGGCCCTGGGCCTCCTCCTCTAGGTCGACTCGGCCTCAAATGAGTACTTGGTGCGGTGTCTAGTAAACATCGCCACTCGGGAGACAAAGGCGGCCGGGCGTGGTGATGGACACCCACCCCCTCGTGTGCCGTTTCAGCCTTCATAGGTGCTCGCTAAACAGCACTTGCCCCAACAGTCTGTTGAGGCTATACGGGGGATCCTTGTTTTTTTTGTTGTGTCTTGGACTTGTGTATGTACATCCAAGCACACAGATGTATGTCTGCGTATATATATAGTGTGTGTGTCTTTATATCTCGGTCACGTGGCCTTGGAGTGCACTTGGGCTGGCACGAGCACCGTGTCGTCGTTGTTGTCCCCGTCGCTGCGGCCCGGTGGAGCAGGACCTGCAGAAGGCGAATGACATCCTCCGTGTGGTGCTGCTCATCTTCCCGCACTTCTGCCTCGGCCGTGGCCTCATGGACCTCGCCAAGAACCAGCAGCTGGCCGACATCGGCGCGCGCTTCGGTACGACGCCGTGCGCACGCGCACGCACGCGTACGTACGTGCGTACATCACACGTGCGTACGTACGTACGCGTGATGCACGCACGTACGCGTGCTGTGATGTTCTTCTTGTGCCCAAGGACTGCGTGGGGGGCGGGGAGGGACGGTTTGCCCCTCTGTGGGCGGTGGCCGTAATCCGTCCGCTGCGATCGCGGAAACGTGCGGAGATGCCCCCCCCCCCCCCCCCCCATCGTGGACGTCACAGATCATCGGCAGGGCGTGAGCCACGCAAGGGAAGGGATTGAATGCGCGGTGGGGGGAGGTGGGGGGGAGTTCCAAAAAACTATAACAGCCCCGTGCCCCCCCCCCCCCGCCCCTCACAAACTCAATGCAGCCCTGAGCGTATCCCGAAACACAAATCCCGATTTTAATTTGTCTTTGCAATGAGTTTCCTCCTGACCCTATGATCGCGGACAACCCCGTGACCCCGTGACCCCGTGCGACTCCCCCCCCCCCCCCACCAGGCCAGAACTCGTTCAAGAACCCGTTTGAGTGGGACGTGGTCGGGAAGAACCTCTTCGCTATGGCCGTGGAGGGAGTCGTCTTCTTCACGCTCACGCTGCTCATCCAATACCGCTTCTTCGTAAAGCCCAGGTGAGTGGCACGGCGAGTCCTCCGCCGCTCTCTCCGATCTCTCTCTCCTCTCTCTCGCTCTCCTCTCTCGATTGTTTCTCTCTCTCTCTGCACTTTGTTTCTCTCCGATCTCTCCTCTCTCCCTCTCCTCTCTCTCCTCTCTCTCTCTCTCTGAGCCATCACCATGGTGCGTGCCGCCACCCCCCCACTCCCCAGGCCCGTGAAGATGGAGCTGCCTGCCACGAAGGATGAGGACGAGGACGTGGCTCGCGAGCGGCAGCGCATCGCGTCCGGCGGCGGCCTCACGGACTCGCTCCGCATCGTTGAGCTCGTCAAGGTGATCGTAAACCCGTCCGTGTGGCTCCCCCCCCCACCCCTTCTTCTCTTCCGCCCCCTCCCCCCCCACTGCATTATTGCCCCAATTGCCACAGCTCTTTGCCCACCTTTCAAGGGGGGCTCCATTGGCAGAGGTGACAGAGGTAAAGGCGCAGCCCTGCAATTGCTCGCTTGTTCCAACGAGCCTCCCCAACCGAAGGGAAGCTCTGGCTGCCAAGCCCATTGCACCGTAGTAGAATCCCTTGCCGGAGGCGCGGGACACGTAAGACCTGGAATTGAGCGCGGTTGGCTACGCACGGTGCGAACGAAGTTCAATGTCCATACGTACGTGTGGGTCGTGCCTAATCAGAGGGAGGTTAAATCCAGGGGTCACGCCGTGACCCCTGGACAGATCGACGCTCGCTGCGTCCCCGTTGGCGGGGGATCGAAACGGGGACCTTGCGCCGTGGCACCACAGCACCATCCAAATGATGTCATTGGTGATGTCACGATGACATCAGATTCTTTCCATTGGTGGTATTACAGTAGAACCCCTGTTAACGACCACCCCTGTTAACGACAAATCTCTTAACGACGGGCCTCCATAGAGCCCAATGTGAAGTGTATAGTAGTGTAGTGTATAGTGTAGTGTATAGTTGTATATAGTGTAGTGTATAGTAGATGGGCCTCCATAGAGCCCAATGTGTAGTGTATAGTAGTGTAGTGTATAGTGTAGTGTATAGTTGTATATAGTGTAGTGTATAGTAGACGGGCCTCCATAGAGCCCAATGTGGAGTATATAGTAGAGTATAGTGTAGTGTATAGTTGTGTATAGTGTAGTGTATAGTAGTGTAGTGTATAGTAGTATACGGTAGAGTAGAACCCCTGTTAATGACAAATCGATTAACGACGGGCCTCCATAGAGCCCAGTCTATAGTAGTGTAGTGTATAGTGTAGTGTATAGTAGTATAGTGTATAGTGTAGTGTATAGTTGTGTAGTGTATAGTAGTATAGTGTATAGTGTAGTGTATAGTTGTGTAGTGTATAGTGTAGTGTATAGTTGTGTGTAGTGTATAGTTGTGTGTAGTGTATAGTTGTGTGTAGTGTAGTGTATAGTAGTGTATAGTAGTGTAATGTATAGTAGTGTATAGTAGTGTAGTGTATAGTTGTGTATAGTGTAGTGTATAGTAGTGTATAGTAGTGTAGTGTATAGTTGTGTATAGTGATATAGTGTAGTGTGTAGTGTATAGTGTAGTATATAGTGTAGCGTATAGTTGTGTTTAGTGTAGTATGTAGTGTAGTGTATAGTAGTGTAGTGTATAGTTGTGTATAGTGGAGTGTATAGTTGTCTAGTGCCTCCAATAGAGCCCAATGTGTTCGCTTACCGACCATTCCCCTGTTAACGAAGGACTGTTGTAGGTACATTAAATATAAATTAATGCAATGATTAACCATGTTTCTTTTAATATTATGTGCTTATAATGTTAGTATATTTTATGTATCAATATTATAAAGTACGTTTTTTGGCTGAAAAAGGGGTAACTTTTGATGCTATCGGAACGAATTAAGCCTTTAGCGTGCATCTGCTATACTCGCTTAATGACCAAATCACCTAACGACCGGTTTCGTGGAATCAATTACCGTCGTTAAGACTGCAGAACTCACGGTCGCTTTGGCGCGCGTCTCCCGCGTGCAGATTTATCGCGGAAAGAAGAAGGCAGCGGTGGATCGCGTCTCCGTGGGCATCCCGCCGGGAGAGGTACGCCATGTAACCAAGCGCACGCCCGTCGGCCGATAGACGCCTCGACCCTTTCCCGCTCCGAGACGTCTGCAAGTCGCAGGGTGGGGGACGTCCCCGTTCACCGCCGAAGCTCGGAACACTCGCAAGCGGCTCGGCGTTAATCTTATTCAGGGAGGCGTAGCGACGTCGTTTTCAGAGACATCGCCTCCGTTACATTTTTCATGAAGTTTTCCTCCGGGACACCCCCCCCCCCCCCCCCGTCCCCCTTCCCACAGCGCAAAGCGGCGTGATGTCCAAAATGTAACGTAGAGCCGTTAATGGCGAACCTTGGCGAGCTTCCTTTTTTTTTTACTTCTGCGTACCAGCCGTAGGCACGGCCAGGTGGATGACAGGCCTGCGTGCGTACGCGCGAGTAGAGGGAGTCCTCGTTGTAGTGCGCTAGGAGATGCGTGCCTGAAAAGCGGTAAGCGAACAACAGTTTCCCCCATAAATAATGCGGGGGACGGTAAAGTTTAGCGAGATACGACGTACTACTGCGCACGTGCGGTGAGATGGCGGGGACAAATAACTGAGGGTGCGCCGCCTGCGTTGCTGCATCATTCCGCGTACTGTATCACTCCGCTCAGCCGAGTAGCTCGAGAGAGTACGGTAGTTTGTCGGAAACCACGCGATAATGGGGGGGGGCGCGTTCTGCGTTGTGCAAAAAAAGTGCTCCCGGAATGTAAGAAAACCGCGTTATAGCGATAGCGCGTTGCGTGAACACCGGGCGCGATGCGAGGAATTGCCGTACATACTTAAGTGCATGCATACGAGCACACGCGCACGCGCGACGGTACGCGTCTGTAAACGGGCGGACGGGCGGGCGGGCGCGTCGTCTCTCTCCCCCGCAGTGCTTCGGCCTGCTAGGCGTAAATGGCGCGGGAAAGACGACGATGTTCAAGATGCTGACGGGCGACACGGACGTCACGAGCGGGGAGGCCTTCCTCACGGGATACAGGTGACGGGCGGATGCACCGCGGCACGTGGCAGAGGCCCAGCGGCTCGAGTGAAACACGAGAAGAGGGTATCGTGGGATGTTCATAAGTCGATTTCCCACCGAGTAAAGCACCGTAGAGCTAAGAAACAGTTTTTTTTCAACGGTGACTCGGCCACAAATGAAAGCTCCAAGCGAAGTGGCTCATCACGTGTAAGCTTACAGCAGCCAAGTAATCCAAAGGCACGTTGTTGATTCTAAAATGTGGAGGGAAAAAAACCGGAGCACTCGGAGAAAAATCCACGTGCCCACAGGGAGAGCATGCAAACTCAAAATATACAGCAGGCGTCAGCGTCGGGATCGAACCCATACCTCCTGTATACCAGGCGAGGGAGTTAACATCTCGCCACCGTGGCAGCATGGAGTCTTTAATTTTCCATTCAGGAAGGAGATTTGATTATTCCACAATTTACAGATGTAAAACACAAACAAGCTTAATCATTGCAATTATGTTGTAATATTGACCTTTACACTTAAGCATGAGTCCGTTTAGAATAAAATAATCATAATAAAGACTCTACCTTTTCTGGCAATAATGCTGGTGTTAAGATGTTAAAACACAAAAATAGACACGCTATTCCAGGAAGGCCCAAAGCCTTGTTTCATCTTAATACAGTACTGGCAAACGGGTCCCATGGTGATAGCAGCACCGTGCCTGCACACAGCTGCTTCCTGCCGTGACCATCATCATTGTTTGTCCTGAGCGTCTTCACAAACGTCGGGGGACTCAGTGCGTGGCTGCCCCCCCCCGTGTGTTTCTGTTCTCCTCCATGTCCCTCCTTGCTTTGCTTACACTCCTGCCCGGTCACACGGCGGACTTGGGTTCCCGTCATTGTCGCTCGTCCGGTTTGCTGGTCCAGCGAAGTCGTACCGTGAAATGTCAGGGCGCAATTACGATGGAACGGTTCCGCGTGCGTCGCGTCCAAATGCGTCGTCATGTTCGTTGTAGAGAGACCGTCTGAGATCTACTCTGGACCATGATCGTCTTTGTCTCTAGACCTCGATGTCTCCCGTGGGAGGCCAGTCGGCCGAAATTTCGAGATATCCCTTTCGTCCCCAGCGTACCATTGTTCAAAAGTATGTTGTGATTTTTTTTATTTACGTAACCCGAGTTTGTGTTTTAATTTCACACTCCTGCCCGTGCCGCCCCTGGCGCTGTTCACCCGCCCCCACGTGCCAGCATCCTGACCAACATGCGGGAGGTGCACCAGAACATGGGCTACTGCCCGCAGTTTGACGCCATCAACGACCTCATCACGGGGCGGGAGCACCTGGAGTTCTACGCTCGCCTGCGCGGGGTCCCCGAGAAGGAGGTGTCCACGGTAGGTGCCCAGTTCACGTGCGCAAATCCACCAATCGCGGCCATCTGACCGCAGAACTTGACATCGTCGCCCATTCTATTTCCGTAGCCCCCCCGCGCCCGGCGGTAACCCCTCCCCCCCCCCCCTCCCCCGTGACCCGTGGGCCACCGGAGGTCGTGGTCGCACCGCCCGCACGCTCGGTAACCACGAGAGCTGTTTAATCCCCAACGCCCCTCCTCCCCCGCCCCCCGCCCCGCGTTTCCATTGCCGGCGGCGCCTCCCTTGCGGCAGGTGGCCGAGTGGGGGATCCGCAAGCTGGGCCTGATCCGCTACGCGGACCGCTCCGCCGGCAGCTACAGCGGTGGCAACAAGCGCAAGCTGTCCACGGCCATGGCACTCATCGGCTGCCCTCCCGTCGTCTTCCTGGTGAGACGCGCCGCGCGCTCGGACACGTGCTCTTCGCGTGCGAGGGGACGATCGTATTGGTTTTATTATTATTATTACATTTCCCCCACGCTTGTTGAGCACAGGCCCAAAAGGCCCGCCCATAAAAACGCCGGGCGGCCAGCGATGATAAGAGTTGATACGTTTGGCGAATTTGGTGGGTGTATTGGTGTGTGAGTGGGTGTATTGGTGCGTGATTGAGTGAGTGAGCGGGTGAGTGGGGTGGGGTGAGTGCGTTGTTGAGACCCGCAGTGTGGTGGTGGTGGTTGCACACGGTACAGGTGAGATGAAACGGTCGGTGTCTGGGGGACCGAGTGCTTGCCACGCGCGGAGGGCTCGTCACGTGGAGGCTGTGGGGGCGGACGCTCGAACGGTTTTTGTCTCCGCAGGACGAGCCGACCACCGGGATGGACCCGAAGGCGCGGCGCTTCCTGTGGGACTGCATCCTCAGCGTCATCAAGGAGGGGCGGTGCGTGCTGCTCACCTCGCACAGGTACCGCTCCCTCGCCTCGCTCGGCCGCCCAACCGCCCACTCGATCACTCGCACACCCACTCACTCAATCACTCAGCCACTCACTCACTCACTCAATAACTCACCCACCCACTCACTCAATCACTCATCAGCTCACCCACTCACTAAATCACTCATCAGCTCACTCAACAATTCACCAAACCACCCACCTACTCGCCCAATAACCCACCCACTCTCACCAACTCAGCCATTCACTTACCCACTAACCCAATTACCCACCCACTCGCTCACCCGCCCGCTCACTCTCCCGTGTGCCCGTGTGCAGCATGGAGGAGTGTGAGGCGTTGTGCACTCGCATGTCCATCATGGTGAACGGCAGATTCCAGTGCCTGGGCAGCGTACAGCATCTCAAGAACAAGTGAGTGCGACCTGCATGTGACAAAAGACAAAGATCCCCCATATAGCCTTTACAAGTGCTGTTAGCGAACACTTAATGAAGGACGGCACTGCACACGACGTCTACATCGCTGCCCCAGGTACCTATTGTAGGCTAAGTCAACCTAGGGGAGGCCCAGGACCGGCTCAGATATTCGCCACTGGGTGTTGGCCGTGAGTTGTAATCGAGCTCGGGTCGCCGGGTTCGTAGCGCAGTACACGCAGCTTACCGCTACACCACCGCTCCAGCGCACACTCACAAAGACAAAGATCCCCCCCCGTATAGCCTTAACAGACCGTTGGGGCAAGTGCTGTTAGCGAGCAGCACCTATGAAGGCCGGCACGGCTCACGAGAGGGTGGGTGGCCGGCACCGCGCACTCACAGCACCGTTTGGTTTCCCTGATAACGTCGCTGGGCGGCGGCGGCGGCGGTGGTGGTGTTGCCGCTGCAGGTTTGGCGACGGCTACACGGTGACGCTGCGCGTGGCTGGCTCCCCGCCGGTGCTGCCGCCCGTCGAGGAGTTCATCGGCTCGGCGTTCCCCGGCAGCCTCCTCAAGGAGCGCCACCACAACATGCTGCAGTACCAGCTGCCCTCCGCCGAGTCCTCGCTCGCCAAGATCTTCAACCTGCTGGCGCTGCGCAAGGAGGAGCTCAACGTCGAGGACTACTCCGTCTCCCAGACCACGCTCGACGAGGTGAAGCCGGCTCCACTGGCCGTCGCGTTCGCGATCCTCGATGCCCGCCCTGATTAACGGTGGTTGAGATGTTAACTGCCTCGCCTGGTATACAGGGGTCGATCCCGGCTCTGATGCCTGCTGTCTTTTTGGAGTTTGCGTGTCTCTCTCTCATCATCATCATCATCACGGTGGCTGGGAGATGTGAACTACCTCGCCTGGTCTCCAGGGTTTAATCCCGACCCTGACACCTGCTGTATATTTGGAGTTTCCACGTCTCTCTGTCTCCCCGTAGTCGCGTGGATTTTTCTCCCGGGTCCCCCAGGCTTTTTCCTCCACATCTTAGGATCAACATCACACGTTTACAGTAGTTGGCTGCTATACATTTCCACGTGGTGATCAGCCACTTCATTGAACTATCGTCTGTGGCCAGGTCACTTCTGAATAAGCGCTATATAGCTCAGTGGGCCTGGTAAAATAAAAATTGTAGATTTTTTTTGTGGTGACATGGCCGAGCAGTTGCTCGTTTTGCCGCTCCTTGCAGAGGATCGCTGACCGAGTCCCGATGGCCGCCCTGGTTAATACTGCGGGAGTGTTTTCACAATTGGGGCTGTTCAACGGCTCTTCCTTTTTGTTACTTCCGCCTCCTCCAAGGCGCTTTTCCACTGGCACATCTGAGCCGAGCCAGAACCAAACCGTGATGCGCTTGGGCTCCACAGAGGTGTCTAAATCTGGCAGCGGGGCCAGGGGCCTTGGTCGAACGCCGCTCTCACCACTCGAGTCGTCGCTTCAGTGCGCACAACTCAAACATGGCGTCAACGACAAAGGTCCCCCGCCCGCCGTGTAGCCTCAACAGACTGTTGGGGCAAGTGCTGTTAGCGAGCAGCTAACGAAAGCCAGCACTGCACACGAGGGGTTAGGGTGGCCGAGTAGCGATGTTATTACGCACCGCACCAGGTACTCGTTTGAAGCCGAGTCGACCAAAGGGAGGAGGCCCAGGACCGCTTCAGATAATCGTCACCGGTGTTGGCCGTGAGCGGGAATCGCCGTGTCCTTCCCATGCGCGACGACTTGCCCGTCGCTCGTGCGGAGCTGCAAGGCCCCTGGTTCTGCAGTGGGGGGGGGGGGGGGGGGGGGGTGGGGGGGGGAACAAGAAGCTCACGCCTCCCTGAGCCACGCCGCGCCACGCCGGGCTGGCTCTGCGCGGGCCTCGCCCGCCGCTCGATCACCCGGCCGCGACAGGGGGACCTCGGTGACGTGCGCTGGAGACCCGCGCGACTGATCGCCGTCCTTCCCCATCCCGCACCCGCCCTCCCCAGGTGTTCGTGAGCTTCGCCAAGCACCAGCACGATGGGGAGGAGTGGGAGTCCCTGATGAACCAAGCAACGATGCAGCAGCAGCAGAAGGTCAAGGAGGTGTGAAGGCGCGCGGCCCTTCCCGACGGCTAACCCGCGAGTCGACCCCCTCCCCACGTTTTTATTTTTTCCCCTGATGCTCTAACCGTGGGTCACCCACGGCGGTCATAACTTCTCACCGCCGTTCACCACCGGTTCGAAGGCGTCGCTGGGGGAGGCATTCCTAGATGTTCGGTGTGAGGTGTGGGTATAGGGTGCCACGGTGGCTAGGAGATGTTAACTCCCTTGCCTGGTATACAGGAGTTCGTGCGTTTGATCCCGACCCTGACGCCTGTATATTTGGAGTTTGCATGTTCCCTCCCTCTCTCTTTTCCCGTAGTCACAAGGACTTTTCTTCGGTATTCCTCCGGTTTTTCCCTCCACATTTTCAACTCAACATCATGCATTTAGAGTGTTTGGCTGCTGTAAATTTAAACGCGCTTAATAAGCCGCTTCGTTTGTGGCACTTCTGAAAAGAAGGCTATAGAGCTCAGTGAGCCTTACCTGGTCAAATAAAATAAATAAAAATAGTCGAGTTCATCCGGGTCTGTTTGGGTTGGCGAGCCAGAAGATATTACTTACAGCCTGCACACCACATCCAGTATATGTCTCGCTCTCGCTGCAGCTACAGTGCGCGTGCTTTCGCCAGTCTACCAAGTGACCCAGAGCGTAGTCGGTGATAAATTAAAAGCTTCGCTCCCGAGACATCTAGAGTTGGCTTCCAGCTTGTCCGAGATGGATACCAACTCTTTACATGTCCCCCCCTACCCACGCCGTCCATACGATTGTTGAATCTCCAGGCCTGGCTCGGGGTTTCAAACAGGAAATGAGAACTGCGCACTCGCCGACCTTAGCGCTAAAACAACGTGGATCCCGAACCTAGCCGCTCCAATTGGTGAAAGTTGACACTGCAGAACCAGAGGCCTTGCAGCTCCACGCACGCGAGCCACGGGCAAGTCGACGCGCGTGGGGAGGACACGGCGATTCCCGCTCACGGCCAACACCGGTGACGATTATCTGAAGCGGTCCTGGGCCTCCTCCCTTTGGTCGACTCGGCCTCAAACGAGTACCCGGTGCGGTGCGTAATAACATCGCTACTCGGGAGACAAAGGCGGCCGGGCGTGGTGCTGGCCACCAACCCCCTCGTGTGCCGTGCAGGCCTTCATAGGTGCTCGCTAACAGCACTTGCTCCAACAGTCTGTTGAGGCTACAAGGGGGGGGGGGCCTTTAGAAATAGAAATACGGCCTCGTGTGCTGGAGATGTTGTTGCGTGGAGCAGTATAGGCATTCGGTGAGATTAATTGTATTGTTATTGCTTGTGTAGACTTACATGGACTTTCGGTTTAATATAAATATTGTTTATGCTACAAAGTAATGGGCTCTGTTCCTACGCAAATGACTGAGACATTTTAAATGAGCCTCGTCATAACACATAACGCATAAGCAACCAACACCCAATCCACAATTTCAATTGTCGCCACGAGGCGATTCGTTGTTACGTGATCACTGGGCAGTGCCGCTTTTTCAGAAGGGCTGCGTCCTGAAAAATACGAAAAAAAATACGAGATTTTGTTTCTGGGGGGGGGGGGGTCACGCTCGGCTCGCGATAGATAACAAAGTCGCGTGATCGGCAGAGGAGCGGTAGATTGGGTGGCCGTGGCTATGTACAAGTTGGCGGGGCTGCCAACTCGCCGTGTATCCCGGTTGAGCCTCCCAGGAATGTGGTACTGTGAAACTACTAGCCATCTGTGAAACTACTGGCCACCTGTGAAACTACTGGTCATCTGTGAAACTCCTGACCATCTGTGAAACTCCTGGCCATCTGTGAAACTAGAACTTTGCAGCTAAATCGGATTCCTCCAGTATAAATAAATAGTCTGACTCTGGTACCCTCACGTTGTTCACCACTACCCCCTTTGCAACAGAAACGCAGCCCGTACGCAATAGCGCAGTGGAAGAAATACAAAATCCTCTTCCAGTGGAATGTTTTCTGTCACCGGGCAACTTTAATTACGAGAGCGAATGAGGTGCTGCCTTTAGGCAGCGCGAGACTTCAGAAGAAAAAAAACGCCGACTTAAAGAATGTTCTCAAAGCGTCATGATTTTGCACTTTCAGATATTTTACACGTATATATTGGAATTTATTATATAAAATACTGTTATTATAAACGAAAGTGATATATGTACGTTGCGTTGTATTTTTTTTATGGTAAATTATTAATCTCTTGGGGGATTTGACCGTTGAAAATCTTGTGAAATGTGAAATGTGTGCAAGGATCTTGAGTCCACGTAGCCTCGGGTTATAACTTGCGCCATAGCTCAGTGGGCCTTACCTGGTAAAATAAATAAGTTTTTAACCACCAATCCATTGCACCAGAGTACAGCACCGGTGATATAACGCCGTCCACATGCAGCCCATCTCTCTATCCACTGCTGGATGAGAGCCTTCCAACGCCATGGCGGGTTTCTTGGGGGCTCTTTGGCCATACTTCACCACGCTGGTCGCTGCAGGTTGATGAAGGCCCGGGAGCATAGACGTGGCAACGTAGGCATACAGTACAACAATGGATTGTGCTACACTGCCCTCTGCTGCCCACGGTGTAACCCCACAGCAGCCGATAGCACCTGTGGTGTGTGGCGGTGGTGGTCGCCTATCGAATTCACGATCGAACAATGATTTGTCCATATTCTTAGCTCTTTCGGTAAAGTCACGTTGACTTTACCGAAAAGAGCTAAGAATATGAATTACTGCAGTCACGAAAGCTTTAAATAAAAAAATGATTTGTCCGTTCCGCGAAGTTGCAAATTTTTTAATGACAATAACGACAAGAGCCGCATTTATAAAGCGCCTCTCATTGGAGGATCTTAAAAGGGCTGTACAAGACACAGCGGCAAATATTCGGCATACAAGTAACTCGTGAAACAAAAAAGGAAATAAATGTTAATATGTACGGCTACTATTTGATGAGATCTGGTGCATTCTGGGTGATTTGGTTATAGGAGTATCTCTGAATAGCATTACATATTGCTTCGGTTGACACAAAAGTGTCAGCTATTGGTGGTCCCACTTTTAGAATCAATAGCTGATTGTGCTCCAATGTGGCGTTTGTGCATTATCCGTATTTAAATAATAAATATATACGTTGTGTAAAACTTTGTGTGACGCCGTCGTCGTCATCATCATCGTGAGCCATGTTCCATCCACTGCTGGCAGGCCTCTCCATGCCATCGCCCTCCTTTCGCGGTCTTGCCATGCCCCAATCAAGCACTTGCATGGCAGCCCTTCTGAATGAGGGCCTCCCCACGCCGCCGTTCACGTTGTGGGGGCTATTTGACCATACTTCACCACGCTGATCAGTGCGGCATTTGGCAAGGCGGGAAGAGCGAAGACGTGGGAGCACAGAAGTACAACTGCACAGTAATTCCTCGTTGAACGCGGTAGGTGCGTTCCTGAAAAGTGCCACGTTAAGCGAAGACTTGGCCCATAAATAATGTTAACGATAACATTTGGCTGGATTACGATGTGCTACTATGGTGCCACCGCAGTGGGGCAACTCGGCTGGCGCTACCCTCTCCTCGCACCACCCCCCCCCACCCCCCACGAACGCACGCACGCCCCACTAAACACTCGCATGCACCCCCCGTAGGGTCTCGAGGAGGGATCACGTGGTACGATGGGTTTTCACCCGAGGACCCCGCTAGCAGGGACGTTCCACGGTTTCCCCGGACCAGGAAATTGGCTGAGCCCCCCAGACCGGATTACATGGCGGCCCCCCCCCAAAAAGGGGGCGTAGAGCTTTCCAGGCCGGCCGCGATGAAGCACACACAACACGGGGGGGTGGGACCTTCAGCCAGCACCCAGCAGCAGGGTAAACAGTGGGGTGGGAGGGAAAAGCCCCTAGGCAGATAAGAATTGATTTAAGTTGGAGGGAGCGAGGGGATTATCGGTGAGTCAACAGCGAGAAACGCAGGTACAGAGACAATGGGAAGGGGGGGGGGATGACGCGACCCCCACCCCCCCCCCCCAACGGCCAGAGCGCTCAAAACGGCCGCAAAGAGGATTTGATTGGATGCGCAGGATGACGTCACATGACCCGGGGGTTAAGGGGCTTTGGGGACATAAGGGGGCCGGAGGGGCGGATTAATTTCCGTACTGTTATTGCGCTTGGCACGCGAATGTGGAACTTCCAAGCACTGGCCCTCGGGTGGTGGCCCATTTGCCACCTGGCAGAGCAAAGGCGCGGGGGGGGCTCATCACGTGGGGGAGAAAGGGGGGTCGACTAATGACCTACGATGTCAGGTTTTGGAAAAGCTGATTTTTTCACCCCCTGGACTGTGGTCACCACCTGCCCTGGTCCCCCACCTCCCCCCCCCCACGTCACCCTCTTCTTGTTGGGGCCAACTGCTGTGCTTGAGAATGTTTCTCCGCTTGTCAATAAAAAAATGCAATATTTCACCCCCTCCTAGAAGCTCGGCCAACCTTACAGCTACTAAGCTACTACTGGGCAAGATTAATTAGATTTTTTTTTTAATTGAAAGAAATAAACAAAAATGTTTTAACCTTTCGGATCATCAAATAATACATTATTTAAATGCATGCCGATACAGGCCACCATACTTAAATAGGGATTACCGTTGCTACGGTTATTTTAACACACGATGGACAGGAACGACAAGATCAAAGGGCTCGCATAATGCGCATGCATCATGTACATTGACTCAAGAGCGCAGAAGCGTGGTCACCACATCTAAACCTCTATATAAGGAACGAAACAGGAGGACTTCTCCACAAATCTGGCTGTCGCCTGATGAAGCTAGTTGTAATTACTGGCGAAACGTCGTACTCAGATTGTAAATGTTGTGGCTTGGCTCTCCAACACAGCGGTTAGTGCTGTACTAGTGACGAATTGGCCACGTTCTGTTTACGTGACAACCCTTACTAGTTGGCTGTGTCGGGTGGTGGCGGGTTTTAACGACACAACATTTATATATTTACGCGATCTAACCCAAAAAAACTATTTTTAACCTTACGCAATATTTTTTTTTACATCACTGGCTCTCGCTAATGCTTTATCCAATCCTCGGCTGTTCCTGAATTATTTTGATAGAATTTGAACCTTATGGCGGGACCCCGTGGTCCCGAATAGTCAAAATCGAATGTATTTATTTTTAGCGACTCCGTCCCACCGTGCACATCAACGCCGCGACCCGCCTGGCCGCGGATCGTTCTGATCGTTCTGTTGTCGTGTCGTCCAAGCGCAACGGCGAGGACGAATGCGCAGAAGAAACAAAACTTTGAAACTTTGATTAGCGCATCGCGTGGAGCTCGTCGAGAGGAATACATTGCCGCGTCGTTCGCCTTCAACAGACATCAAATGACGTCGCAACGCAGTTTATGAGAGAGCCGGGGGCTTATGGGACCCCGGGGTCTAGCCATAAGGTTCAAATGTCGAGGCCTAGGCCTTGCAACCAATACCTCCTACTACCAATAAACTGTTTCCACCAAAAAACGTTTCCGAGTAACGCAACTCATTTTTGTCTCCCTTGAAATGCAGTCTTTTTTTATGAATAAGCTTGGACAGCGACGGAGAATTCACCTCGCTCCTCCTTGTCGACGAACTCCACTCGCGATATTTGACCTCATCCCGACCCTTGATGGGCCGAGGTCTCTATTTCTTAACCGCGACCCCACGTCTGACATTGTTAAGAAATGAAGTTACGTAGGTAAACGTTCCATTTTCTCGTTATTAAGTTTATTCAATCCTTCAACAACGACAAAAACAATCAAAACATTGAGTAAGTTTGAGTATAAATTGATTGAATGTAAACTTTGGCACGTTAACAAAAAAATTGCGTTTGCGTTTTGGAAGAAATGTATCGCATTATATTTAATTCTGACCGTGCAGGTTGCTATGTTGACATAAATGGACCGCAGGAATGCACTATGGATAGTATTCTTCAGGGTACGGGGGTAGAAGATTAACTGTTCTTTGTAAGGTTACGGTAACCCAAGGTATAGCCAACATATATCATTTAAAGTATTTGTTCAACCTTTCTCTGACTTGAAACCTTCCCTACGTTTGATGCAAATACAAACAAATTTTTTTACATGCGTTAACACAGCATATATATGTAAACCACACAATTTTAGAAAGTAAAATCATTCATCACAGAGAGAACGGTAGTATTTTAAATGGGCCCTTGCTACCACACTACCCTTGCAAAGGCAAACGAAACCCTGAAATGTTATTTGCTAGACCACGCATCTCCTCTCAACAGCGGCCAACTAACCCCTTGGCCAAGTTCACTTCACTTGCCACACGTTTCACGTCGTGCGAGGTGGTTGACACCTGCAATCGTCGTTTTTGTAGTTTTTTTTACGGAGGATCTCTGGAGACGTGACCTCGCGACCCCGACGGCTGTGAAGCTCTTCCAAAGGTGAGGAATAATGCCGAAAAATGAGCGCAAGGACACGGTGGGAAATGCAGCGTTGCCCCCAAACGGGGTCAAGAAAATCAAATGTAATAACTGGAAAGGCTACGGTGACTGCAGCTAGCTAGCACTTTTGTGATTAATGTCTAAATGTCATTATTTAATAGCAAAAAAAGTGTTCTTTTTGAGTCGAACAACTAACGTGATCTTTTATGACATCCTGGGTGTACGAAGGGACCGTCTACAGTGGAAAGTCAAAAAGGAACTGCATTGCTTGGCTTTTTTTGGTGACATTCCAATGTACTGACTTCGTAGCAGCTGGCAAATCCATAAATATAGGTTTTTGGGTTAGATGGCGTAAATATAAATGTGTCGTTAAACCCACCACCACCCAACACAGTCAGTTAGGATTGTCACGTAAACAAAACGTGACAATTCGTTACTCGTACAGCGACGAATTGGCATGTTGAACCCAAAAACCTCTTATGGATAATATTGGTCGAAAGCCTTTGTGTCAAACAGCTGGCAAATGTCTAAAGTCCTTGCATGATGGTCGGCGAGTTTTGTGGTCGATGCGTGGAGCAGTTCTTGACCTTGCGCATTGTAAACGATACATCCACCGTGTCCACGCAGGGGTGTAATGTGACAACAGCCCGCAGTTATTGTTTGTTTCCTGTTCTCTTCTTTAGCAAAGGCGCTACTATATCTGATAGTCATTAATCACCATGCCACCCCGTAAATCTCCAGAGCTTGTACCATATTTAGATGTGAACTCTCGCAAAGGTTTTGTTGAGTTTCACGGTTTAAAATAAGACAATTACATTCGCCTTTCACTTTCTATTTTTGTAATTCTAGGACTCATTCACTGTTTTAAGATACTGTACTGTAATTATAACACTTATTTATTTAAACAGGCTGCGTGGTGATGTGACAGATCACTTTACTCAAATTCAGAGGGTTACATTCAAATCCTGGCCGGGAGCGAAATCGACCAATCATCCCTTCAGGGGGGTCATTAAAATGAGCATCGCTTTTTGCGAGGAAAACTGAAAGTCGTTGTGTCCACGGAAGAGACCTTTAGAAGTGTGGACTTGCCACCACGTGGCTCGGGGCACGAGAAAGGCATTTCCACAGTCACCGAAACAAAGGCACACGTTGAATCATCAACCTTTATAAACACTCTCCTTGAATGGCACAAACCAGAGCACGGTGCCTGCGCTGCTAATATCAATGCTAACTTTGGCACCGATGGTCGCTGGCACGTGCCGCGTAGCATATGACGCACAGCATCCCCCACCCCCCACCTCTTGTGTTTAACCCTCTCGTGCATCATGTCCACTATGGTGGACTGCGATGATTTGTTGGAATTTCAGCCGTGGTGACAGCACGCCTCCCAAAGCTCTCGTTTGTGCGTGCGGGTCCTCCTTCCGCAGGACGTAGCGTAAAGCTATTCAGTGTTGCCACCTGGCGGTGGCAAGTGTGATCCTATGGCAGGGAGATTTAGTAAAGAGGTTGGCATTCATGAAGGCGGTGTCCAGAGGAAGCTCAGTGTCTGCTGTAATGTAAATAATCGTCATTTTGTGATAAATTACGTGAAACCTTCCGCACATTTGGAGTCGGTCCCTTTGACAAAAATCACATGAAACCAAAACGCACAGGCTTTGCTTTTAATAATTAGAGAGGGTTAATAATAATCAGCTGTGTTGAAGTGTAAAACAAGAAATACTTAAGTACAAGGGAAATTAGAGGTAGTAGGCAGCGGAGGGTGACCCGCGGGGTCTCTGTGTGTTGTCGTGCGGGGTAGCGAACTTTCCCCAGCGTTGTCTGCCAACGATGTTCGTGGCCGCGCTCAGGGGGGGTGGACTGCGTGCGCGATCGCCCCGTTGCCCGTCAGTGGCTCTCGCGAAAAGTGAGGCGGTGCGGAGACAAACTCCTCCTCTCCAGGACTTCCTTGACCTCCCACTCCGTCGCCCCCTGCAGCACAGAGCATCGTCTTTATGCCCCCTTTTCCACTGCGCAACCGAGCCGCGCCAGGGCCACGCCGAGCCAGTGGAAGCAGAGCCGTGCCACTGACGTCACGCACGATGAACGAGTCCGGGGCATGTGTGTAGAGGTTATGCGGTGATGTGTGTGCGGAGGTGATGCGCTGACGTGTTGTGTGTAGAGGTGATGTGCTGCAAGTTGGCACAGTAGGGGGCACAGGTGGTGCATCTGCCAGTCATCTCAGTCAGTCGATCCATGGCACCTGGGTCTGCCCCGTGACCTCCTGCCGGTGGATGTTCAACACTTCACGTGGCTTTAACGTGCACATAGCCTGGCACAAGCGCCGTGGTGACGTCACCGCCACTTAGTGGTGAATGGCGGTTGTTGTTGTTGCGCTGATGTATGTGTGTGGTGGTGATGCACTTACGTGTGTGTGTGTGTGGCGATGCGCTGATGCTGCACTAAATTTTTCTGAATGACATGTTTTCTTTGGGGGGGGGGGTTCATTGAAGTGGGTTTTTTTTTTCACTGAACCAACCGAGTCCCCTGACGCGGGCGTGCCACTTGTGCGAGCTCTTACCTTCCACAGCCTGTCGCGAGCACGGTGAGTCGTGAGCAAGTTTTTGACCCTCTCGTGAATTTTCTCCCAGGAGTTCACCGGCGAGCTTTCACGCCTGACAAAACCCCACGGCAAGCCGCGTGGGTCAGCGAGAAGAAGACTGCGCGTGGGTGCCTCACGATGAACCCCGTTCCTCAAGCGAACGTAAAAAAAAACACCGCGCAATTTTAAAGCAACGATGTTGCTTAAAACAAAGTTGCTCTAGGTGTCGTGCTACTTTAAAACGTGGACAACGACACGGCAACTTTGTTCAAACCTGAAACGAAATGTCGCAAAAGCAACACGCACTCAACTGGATGAGGTCACAAGGTCATCACAGCCAAGGTGAATCCAACACGGTTGGCTACGTACAGTCTCAACTAGATACATAGCGCGGCTGGCTAGGTACGGTGCGAAAGAAGTTCACCATACACACGTACGTACACGCGGCGGCACTCACCCATCCTGCAACGGCGTCCGCCGTGACATGGCCGTCGGGGCCGACAGCGGCCGGGCCGCCAGCGCCCCCACCGTGAGGTCATCGTCGTCACCTCCGTCACCGTCATCGTCGTCGTCGTTGTCGCCGTCTTCGTAACTGATTGTGACGTTGTGCACGGTGGCCACCTGTGGATGTGCACGCAAGATGACGGTCGCGTGGTCACGTACGGACCGGCCCGGTCACGGTGACAAAGTTTAAAGCAGCGAGGGCGTGTGCGAAAACTTAGGGTAGTGCGGGGTGGGGGGGGGGGCACAGCACTATCAATGTCACGTAAACTTTAAACAAACGTTAAAACGCCAAACGGAAAGAATTACACATGGCTTGATCCGAGTTTGTCCGCATTCTACTCCAGTTCTCGCACCCCCTCTGTATGTGATCAAAGGCTATGCCAATATTTGTTCACTTAGACTCTAAGAATCTAGGAGGGGGATGAGCCTTTGGCAAAGGGAATTCGGCCCCCTCCAGCCCCCCCCCCCCCCACCATTAACCATGATCTAACCCTTACTGCATGAAGGCCTCCCCAAGCCGTTTCCACCTCTCAATATTCTGCAGGCAACAGCCTCCAATAATTTATTATCTTTAAGTAGGTTCCAAGTTGCATAGGTCGATAGTTCCATCCGTCTCATATGCATGAACACTTTCAACCTCAGTTGGAAAGTGTTAAAAAAGGGAATAGCCAACTTCCCAATGCAAAAGCATGCATGAAGCATTCTGAAAACTCAGGGCTTCCTAGATGAATGGCAGTGCGAGCACACCGGCACAAGGGTAGACACACCTTGCCAGACCAATTGCCTTGGCCTCTGTTGGGCGTAGCTGAAAAAAAGACAAACAAAAGTTCCAAGCAATTGTTACACACACACACACACGGACGCAGGAGGGTAAGGGGGCCCAGACTCAGTTCAGATCTCACTCGCTACTAAAGTTAACTGTGGCCAGGAATCAAACTCGGGCCCTGGGTTCATGGCGCAGTGCACTAGACACTTCGCCACTACACCACCCCATTGAAACCCGTGTACGGTTAACCCTTTCCCATTCCGATGACGTATGCGTACGTCATCGGAAACAACTAAAATAAAATGACTTTATTGGTACCGAGGCTCCCAAAAGGCCATGCGAGAGGGCGTGTGGCACAGTTTGGCACCAGCTATCGTAGAGTGTGGTCGTGTCGCCACAATTCTCTGCAGTGAGTACAATGTATTTTAAAACGGGGCTATGCCTCTCTAAAATAAATGCTAAATGCTTTTGCGTTCCGAGATTCAGCGGTGAACAGAACCCACCCTGCAACCTGCAGATGTCTCGGAATGGAGAAAGGGTTAAATTAACAGAAAATTGGAGGCAATTAAATAGTCAATTCTTTTACGAGGTGCATTATCGCGTGCACATTTTACCCGAAGGCGAGCTTCTGGTCCCTGGGAAGTATCCCTGGCGGGGAGAGGTGCTTCTGGCGCGTGATCCCACCTGCGACAATACAACGTTCTCCGCTCAGTGTCGGCAAATGTCAACACAGCACTTGTGCCAGGCCAGGTGTACCGGTACTTTGAGGACATGTGAAGTGACGAAGACACGCTGGCGAGTCACCCAACATTCAGACGTTACGAGCTAACCGACTGTAGCACTACACGAGGCACCAACTCACTGTGTTCTAGCAACTGAAATGCTCCGTTTGTTGTTGTAAGCCCCAGCTCAAAACAACAACAACCGGATCGACAGTGTAGGGCTCTCGGCATACGAGTGGTTTTTTTTTCCACTGGCTATTTTCCGGGCCGAGCCAAGCCGGAACCAAACTATAAACACCTCTGGCCTCAGAAGGCATCTGAATCCGGCTCGAGGCCAAGCAGGGCTGGCGGCGGTGCTAACGACGCATTCATTGCTCATGGCCATCGGCGGGCACGACTGCAGTACTGCGGCGGTAAAAACCCGGCGCTTACTTCAGCCGCACTGCAGTGGTGTAGCGGTTGAAGCGCGACGGCGCCATGAATCCAGTGACCCGAGTTCACGCGGAACAGCACCGATGACGATTATTCGAACCGGTCCTGGGCCTCCCCTAGGTCGAACTCAGCCGCAAATGAGTACCCGGAGCAGTGTGTAAACATCGCCACCAGGGAGAAAAAAGACGGCCAGTGCCGGCCTTCACAGGTGCTACTCGATAACAGCACTTGCACCGACAGTCTGTTACGACTATACGGGGGGATCTATGTCTTTGGTGCCAGGTATTGTAGTCGCCGATGACCTCGAGGTTGTCGACCACTCACGGCAGCGGCGGCTCGCGACACGCTACGTCGCTTCGCCGGCCTCGCAGCACCGCCCGCCGAGGCCCTCTTCGGCGACGTCCTTGCGACTGGCGAGCGCCCGCGTGGCCTCCTCGTCGTCATCGCCGCCGCCTCGTCGGCGTCGTTGCCGTAGCAGCAGAAGGAGCAGGGGCCCCAGTGCGCATCCTCCTCCCCGTCTGCGCGTCGCGACGTCTCCACGATGGAGGTCCGAGTGGAGAACTCCAGCTGAGGAGCGATGCCCTTCACCGCGAACAGTCAAGTTATTATGAGCCAAGTTATTATACGCGCGCACGTGAATCCAATGCCTCCCCAAAGGCGTGCGGCAGGTCGCGGCTGGCTGGCCACGCTTCGCCCGCCAGCTGGGGTACACAACACACGGCAAATGTCTGCAGCAACAGCAGCAGCAACAGCAGCACTAGCAGCAGGCACTATTTTACCAGCCCGTTGTGAGACCGAGGGTGACTGCCAATTATAAACACAGAAGACAATACAATTAAACACGTGTGTACATGTGCAGCCTGTTGTCAATCCACTGCTAGATGAGGGCCTCCCCACGTCACGTGATTTACTTCACCAAGCTGGTTCCAGTGCACGTTGGTGAAGGTGGGGAGGATAACCATGGGAGCAAAAAAGTACCGTACAGTACGAACGGTGAACTTTTTCTGCAATGCCCTCTGCTGCCCACAACATAGCCCTGCATCCTATAACACCTGTGATGCACGATGGTCGCCATTCCAAGCACGATCCAGGGCTCGACACCGCTTCAGCTTCTGAGACCTCACAAGGACGGCGCGTTCTGGGTGACGTAGTCAAAAAGCCGTGTATTATATGATGTCTAAAACGCACCTGCATTGTTAAGGAGCTTCTGCGTTATGAGAGAATGCATGAATGTGCGAAATGTGTGATTGCCCGTGTGCGTGGCTGCCATGCATAAATTGTGTTTTTAATATGTACAACACAATGGTGAGCCCAGCTGCACTACCACGTTTTCAAAATGCACACGAATGTTAACCAACAAAGCACATCGCGTTTATATTGACCTAGAATCAAATTAGGGTATGGGATTCATAACCGTGCTATCAATTACCATTTCTCAGAAATTAGCCCTCGCTTCCTGGCATTTGCCAAGCAATGATAATTACAGATGGCCCCGTAAGCTGTGGCCCTCGGCGTGACTGTTAATTCGTCCATACTTTATTTTTAAAATCATCTTTCACGTCAGTTGCAAATCGCTTATAAAATCTCATATATATAAAAAAAGAGCCAGGTGTGGCGACGCACACCAATAGACCAGCATTTTGGCGGTGGCGTTGAACGATTGAACGAATCGATCGATGCGCGTTAAGACACTGACTGAGCTGAGGTGACCAATAAGTAGCAGCACGGCAAGTGCGTTCCTAACCCATCTGTGCTGACTTTAGAATGACATACCTCTGACCTCTGGTTCAGTGATTATTAACCTTCACTGCAGCCTGCACCCCTTTGGTTCTCAGAAAGGGCATCTCGCACCTCCAGGGGGTGCGTGCACCCCAGGTTAACAACCACTGCTCTAGTTGGATACCAAGTTTTGTTATGTATGTTGAACTTCTTTCACACCGTACGTAGCCAACCGTGCTAATTGGAAGTGCGGGGGAAAGGGTAACGAACTAAATGCAAAAAGCAGCTCTGAAGAAATTAGTTTTCAATCGAGATGACTTAAAAGTCCATAATAGCTCCAGTGGCTTCCTAATATCAGAAGAGCGTTCCAGACGGCCGCAGAAGCGCATCATGCCCAAACATGCCAATACAGGACCCTCTTGAAAAACTGTCTATAAGACTCAGCGAGACTTTTCTTGATTTAAAAAAATATTTAGTTTTTTTCTAATTTGCAGCACACATTTCTACGTGTGTTGCAAAATGTGTGAACCATAAATGCAAGATTGAGTTCCTTATCAACAGCAGGCCGATGGAAAACAAATACATAAACAATATACAAAATTAAACTTCACAATTCAGTGCTATTCCCTGGCATATGCCTCTATCAACAAAACCCCATCGAAGAAATCTTGGGTGAGTCTACACACATGCATTTTTATAGCCAGCTGAAAACCATTTGGGGACTATTTTCTTATTGCAAGGGAGAGTTTGGAGACCTGGCAGGAGACCTGGATTCTATCAGACACTCATGAACAGATAAGATGTTCCAATATATCAGTGGCACGAAATTGAAGCAAGCAGTTACAAAATTCACAGTAAATTCAGGGATTTGAAACAAATTTTCCAATGCTGCCTAGATAACTGTGCCTGCACGTGCCCCCGTGGTGTCCGTGTGTGTGGGAGCGGCAGTGTAGCGGTTAGCACATTGCGCTGTGAACCCGGCGACCCGAGTTCGATTCACGCTCACGGCCAACACCAGTGAGGATTATCTGAATCGGTCCTGGGCCTCTCCGAGGTCGCCTCAGCCTCAAATGAGTACCTGGTACGACGTGTAAACATCGCAAACTACGGAGTCAAAGGCGGCCGGGCGTAGTGCTGGCCACCCACCCCCTCGTGTGCCGCTCCAGCCTACATAGGTGCTTGCTAGCAGCACTTGCTTCAACAGTCTGTGAAGGTTACACGAGGGATCTGTCTTTGTGTGCGCGCGTAGGGCTGTGGTTGCGTACAGGGTAGTTGTGCGCACGGTTCAGAAGGATCTGCCCGTCGGAACCGTGGGCTGGTGGGGTGAGGCGAGGCTCCGGGAACAGGAAGCATCGAACGTCGCCTTCGTGGGTGGCCAGGGACTCTCCGCCTGGCCGAGTGAGCCCACACAGACACACGGACATGCATGAACGACTTGAACTCTGCCCGTTCGTTTGTCCGATGAGCTTTCGGGTTGTTACCGCCTGTTGTTGGCCGTGATGTCTGACGGTTTGTTCGAGGTGCTGAGAGCTTCTCGTGAAGAGTTACATGTACGCTTGTATGTATGTTGAACCTCTGTGGCACCGTATGTAGCCAACCATGCAAATCAGAGGTGCGGGGGAAGGACAACAAACTACACACAAAAAGCAGTTCTAAAGAAATTAGTTTTCAATTCAGATTTAAAGGTGCATAGCTCGAAGTGGCTTGAAGGAATAAATACCTGAAGGAAGACGGTTCCAGACGGCCGCAGAAGCACATCTGAAAGCATGCGATGCAGTGAACGTCTTTGTTCAACGGTTAGCCATGAAACCTATCTACAACAGCGAAACCTATGCAGTGGCATGCTCATTTGTGTTTCCTGATTTATTTATTTTGCCCATCGTGTGTTTCTGGAGTTATCTGCAACTCTGCTGGTGACGGGCCCCTCCGTTGACTATACATTGGGTTACACTTGCGCAAATGTCTACTGTGGATTTGGAAATTTACTATTTATGATCAGGGTTAGGGGGTTAGGAAACGTATGAATTAATCATTGCGAGTTGGAGCCAGGGATCACGTCCGTTCTAGCAATCTGTAATCAGTTAAGAGTCAGTCACTAAATCGAGCGTGTCATATTTTTTGATGTTGCGTCACGCCCCTAGACGTGACATGCACAGCAGCTCCCTTGGGAGTTTTGAATGCTGTCGGAGAGGCCTGCATATACAGGCCGAGTGCAGTCTTTTTTACCTGGCAGAGTAAGCTGTATCAGTTCGATGCGCACACATTCCTCTGCGGATAAACACGCACACACACAGAGTCATCGGGATAGAACCATATAAAGATTACTTACAGATAATGTACATAATATCCTGCATGTGCCGGTATATAAAGCTTATACTGATATTTTTGCGACATGGCACGTTGAGTCTGCTAATAATTACAATCCCAAGCACCGATACATTCATTATAGCCACTTCACTGCAGTTGTTCCGGCCATACTGCACCATGCTGCTCAGTGCAGATTGGTGAATGAGGGCCAAGCACTGGTTCAGATATCACTCACTAGCCGTGGCCTCAGGTCAACTGGTTCATACAGCATTGTCCAATCCACTGAACCACAAGTCCCTTTTGTTTTAATTAACTTACAGCTATTTAATTTAAATGCAAATTATTTTGTTCTTCGTGGTGGGTTAAAAACTGTTCCTCATTTTGGTTGTATAGTGATTTACATCTATTGCTTAAAATCAGTGAAAATATCCCGACCTCCTGAACTACATTTTTGATATCTTCTATTTGACTGGAATAAGTTTTGTCTGCTGTTATTCACGTTCGTGACTATAACCGTACCAAGCTGTAATCATCTTCCGTATTAAATTAACAGAGGACAGAGACACCCCTGACATTTTGCTGCTTCTGTGTTAGAAATCAGAATCAAGACACGTTTGTATTTGCTACATCTGGGATCCTCCACATCCACGTGTTTTCAAAAGGTGTTCACAATGTTCATGTCCCTGCTGGTTGTAAAATCTGGTAGACCGTTCCCTTGTGTTCCTCTTTCCAACGATACATTTACCAATCATCCTTTCATCTGTTTCTCATTACCTTTGCACTTACGTATTCCATTATCATGGTGGAATGTGTATTACCATAATTTTAAAGTTGAATCAGGAGGATACTGAGCAGGTGCATTCATTATTTTCCAAATACAAAGTGTGGCATGCTCTCTTGTTTCCTTCTAACAAAGGGAAATTGCAGGCGAATGGTGATTAGGTTGTGCGAGAATACTTTTTCAACTGGAAGAAAAAAGGAGCAGGTGGCACCTCACTTAGATCTGATTAAGAACACTCCCTTAGTTTGTATTTGTGGCGAGATGTTAAGTACCTTGCAAGGTATACAAGAGGTCCTGGGTTCGATCCCGACCCTGATGCCAGTATATTTGGAGTATTCGTGTTCTCCCCGTGGTCACGTGGATTTTTATCCGGGTCCTCCGGTTTTTCCCCTCCACATTAATAATCGACGTGCGTTTTGAGTATTTCGCTGCTAAAAATTTCCCCGTGATGAGCCACTTTGTTGAGCTATCATTCGGGGGCCAGGTCGCTTCTGAAAAAACAACTACTGTAAACAGCTAAGTGGGCCTTAACTGGTAAAATAAATAGTTTATTTTAGCCAGGTAGAGTGGGAAGGCACACAGCCGTGAAGATCTGCATCAGCAGACTTGAGTCACAGGCAGGACTGGAGAGAACAAATTGCTGCTGTGCAGATGTCAGTCACTGCAATCTCCAGACAGGGTGGACACCTGGCCTGATACTCTGGTGTGACTCCAGGCCATGCCACCTCGCTGATCTCGTCAAGGAGCATAAACCATCATCACACGAACTCCGGTTATCCTTGCAGTGGTTTTTGGTTAGCCAATGAACAAAGACGATCACCGCATCGCACGTTTTCAGATGCGCTTCTGCGGCCATCTGGAACGCTCTTCCTTCTGATATTAGGAAGCCACTGAAGCTATGCATTTTAAAATCTAAATTGAAAACCCATTTCATTAGAACTGCTTTTAATATTTAGTTTGTTGTCCTTCCCCCACACCTCCAAATAGCATGGTTGGCTACGTACGGTGTGAAACAAGTTCAACAGAAGTACAAGATACACACCACACATGGAGTGTGGTATATCTTTGGACAGGTCAAGACGCAAAGATTATTTGAACAGGAACCATGAGGATGGCGTGGTTGAGCGGCCACACCATTCCCTGGTGACGTATATTGAACTTCTTTCGCACCGTACATAGCAAGCTGTGGTCATCGGAGGTGTCAACTCCTTGACAGTAAGAAGTGCATCTTGGGCTGCTACACAACGCTGCTGTAGCAAGGTGCTGTGGCAGCCATTACCCATCAGACACAATGCAGGATTAGAAGAGCAAGACCCCCCCCCCCGCCCTAATTTATGTAGAGGAGGTGGTTTATCTTCTGACAGTCACCTCAAGAAAGTTAACCCTAGACACCTGTTCCATGACCTCCTTCCATCGAGCCTTTGACACTTCACGTGACCTCAAGAAACCAAACCTGGCACAAGCAGTGTGGTGATGTCACCGTTGCTTAGTGTTTGTAGGACGCGATCAAGTGTGAATGTTGGTTACCAGGTATGTGGCTTTATTTTAAAGAGATAACACCCAAAAGGCTGCAAGGTGTTCACTCAGTTGTATTGCTCCTGTATCCACTCTGCCATAAAATGTTCCCACAGGTAACACCATGTTCCATTCTGTGTAGCGACCGAGGTCTGACGAAACTGGGCACATTCCATGTGTCGTGGTCATGGGCCAAAATTGCAATAAAATTATTGCTATATGGTGATTAGTAGGTTGTTGGATTGTCACCGTTTATACAACTGCCTCGGATCTTACCTTCCAGGAGCTGAGCAACATCTGCCGGGTCCGTTGCTCTAGGGAAAACCTGGGGCGACATCGCAAATTTCATTGTCATAACCATCACTCCTAAACACATTTCGTGAGCAATTATAACATAGTATCCCGCAAATTACAGATATATATTTAATTTAATGGGGGAGTGGTAGAGTATTGGTTTGCCCACTGTGTTGTGAGCCCGACGACCCGATTCCAATTCCCAGTCGTGGCTAACATTAGTGGCGAGTGAACATTTAACTGATTCTGGGTTTCCCTTAATGAACCAACACTGACCAGTGTGGTAGAGTCAAACAGCCCACGTGACCAACATGGCATGCATGTAAAAGCTTTCATCCAGCAGTGGACTGACAAAAGGCTAAAGTAATACGATAGTCAATTTTGATATTAAGCTTTCGTGACTGCAGGAATCCATACTCTTTGGTTCTTTCGGTAAAGTCACGTAGGTATAAAATAAAATAAATCACGACGTTTCGGGCGCAACACAAGCGTCCATCATCAGGTGGGAAAGCATAGTCTGCTGCTGAGAACAGTCTGCCTCAGCAGCAGACCTGAGAACAGTCTGCCTCAGCAGCAGACCATGGCTTTCCCACCTGATGATGGACGCTTGTGTTGCACCCGAAACGTCGTGATTTATTTTATTTTATGCATACCGAAAGAACCAAAGAGTACAATACCATAGTCCTTCATTTGTATAGAAAAGAAAAGCCTTATCGGGTCTCAAGACTTTTAGGAGGTTCCTGCATTGGGATTCTTGAACAGTTTCAATATTGAGTTTATTGCATGTGTAAATCTAAACACACACATGGTGATAATACTCAAAGTATGCAGATGGATTCAAGAATCCACTTTCTGTACTGCAATCTCATGGCCACGTAGCAGCCAGGCAGGTATGAGAGTTGTATAAATGTGTGCTAAATAAACCCTTGCCTCTCACACGCTGCAATAGAGAAAGCTCCGCAACACCCTGGCAAGAAATTTGCCTCCTGTGATTCTCTCTCGCCTTGTTACGTTGGCTCATTTATCTATCGAGCATCTCAGTGCAACAAGAGTGAGGCACAACACTGGCTAAGGAGAGACATAATGGGTGGGGGAACTGAATATGCCGGATGAGGTTAAGAACACGTGGGAGGTGAGGGGAGGGGAGGTTATGGGGAGAGAGCAACACAACAGCATCGCCCAACAAAATAATATTTTGCGGATAGCCTCGGCTACCGTCCAAGAGATGCGAGTAAGTAAATCAATCTTGGGTATTATTGATCCAAACTTTAATCACTTTACTCTAAACCCGACATAAAAAAACTAAATAAATTACGTCCCGTCATATTTTATCAACTGAAAGATAAAAAAATTGGAAACTGAAAAGGTTTGTTAGTTGCGCAATAACCCTTTGGGGCGCTGTACTCGTCCTCCACAATGTTGACGTTCGTGTCTGTTTTTGTTGTTGCTGCTGCTGCTGTGCTCACTCACCACGGATGTCCCATGTAATACAGCTGGGCAAATGGCCAAACAGGATCATCCGTGTAATGAAGCTATCTGAATGGACATTATCTCACGTATTTGTTATTAGACTAAAATCTGTGGGAATAGAAGTGCCCGTTTCTTTCCCTGTATCTGAGTCGGTCTCTTTGCAGGCTTTCATCCCCACCCCCGTGACGCCACCACCACTGCCACCACCACCACCACCTTCTGGAAGCGCAGACGCTCATGCACAAGCAGAGGAAAGACGGCCGGGATGCAGCGGCACTTGCGGTACTGGCCGAACATGCAAACGCTCAGGTAGATGTCGTCCTTGTTGGGCAGGAACACACCTGGACATGTCACCTGTGCAAAGGCAAGAGAGAGTAAAGTAGATAAAGATCCCCCGTATAGTCTTTTGAACAGGTTGTTTGAATAAAGTTCTGTGAGTGAGCACCTATGAAGGCCCGCACTGAGCACAAGGGGCTATCACCTCTCCGGGCCATTTTTTTTTTATTTTCCCAATGCTATGTTTACAGACCGAAACAGATACCGTGGCCGGGAATCAAGCCCAGGTCGCAAGTTGCATAGTGCAGTGTGCTAACCACCTCACTACGTTACCTGGGCACACGTACACTTTAAATTATACACAAGTGAGTTATAGACAAAAGGCGCAATTGTGACGACAGGATCGGTCCACCGCCTCATGCCGTGCAGGTCAGGCGCATCACGCACGCAGCCGCGTTTTCAAGCCGCGAACTCAAAAGAGCAATACATTTGGCCTTAGACAGCGACAGCAGCACGGACAATGATGATGCGGGTTTTCAATCCTGCTTAGGATTCGTCAAGTACGGTGTTAGGGGCCGTCCATAAATGACGTCACGCGATTTTTGACAATTTTTGACCCCCCGCCCCCGCCAAAGTCACACGGCGTCACAAAAAATCAGACCCCACCTCAAATATGACGTCACAAAGCTCTGCCCCCCCCCCAAAATATATATAAAACATGCTTCAAATCGCTTTAAACTATTGTCATTGTAGTGAGTATTTAATGTGGGCGCTGCACTCTGATGTAGGAGAAAATATTTATTTAAAAAGTCAATTTAATTTAGTAGAACGTGTTGTCTATATTTATTTAAAGTTGCGCATTTTGATGTGACGCACATTTCTCAACCCCCCCCCCCCCCCCCCGTCGTCACACATCGTCACAAATGTCTAACACCACCCCCCCCCCCTAGGTGCGTGACGTCATTTATGGACGGTCCCTTATAACCATTGCCAGCTGTTGCCTTGCGCCTGAGGGACTTTGGTGCGGGCAAGCCTCCCCTAGCCCCTGGGCGGAGGGGAAAGAGTTCTAAACCGCCTCAGAGCGACAACGAACGTATGTCATCACTTTGTGTAAATGATGAGAAATGTGTGAGCACTGTGTACAGTACATACACCGGCAACGGATCAAAATGCATGAAAATAAATAGCAGTACTTGCGTGCCATTTAGACTCCTAACTGAAGCCACAAGAATACTGTGCCCTACACAGCCATGCATTTTTTTCAAAATGCTGTACACATAGAGTACTACATTTGTAGTAACACGCACAGTAGTCGTGTGCGTGTACCTTATGTTGAACTTCTTTCGCACCGTACGTAGCCAAACCGTGCAAACAGGTGAGTGAACCACAAACTTGCGGCGCCTGCTTCGCCGCTTTGTACACTGAAAACGAGGTGGCATAAGAGGGGTGATGAGGATGATCGGCGGCAACGAAGATGCGCATATACTGCTCGACTAGTGGCTTAAGCCCTCTCTAAAAACAGAAGCTCCACCCGAATAAAAAATAAAGGTAACGAACAGCTGCTGCGGACGATGAGAACACAAACCCGGTGCAACAGCGGACATGGGAGGGGTACCTGGGTTCGAATACGAGTCTTCAGCAGCCCGTGATTATACCGGATCCCCATGTGCGGCGAGGTAAATGATTACTGTTCTTACATCGTTTTTTATAGCTTTATTTTGGGGTTTTATCGAAAGCATATGGTGAAGCCACGTGTTATTGCGGAAGTGCGGAGTTGGCCTGATAACTTTAATCTGAATTGTCTTATGGTTGTTATTGTTTGAATTGCATCACACTGGGATTTTTGCACGCAGCGTTGTGATAGGGTGGTTTGTTTGTTTGTTTTTTCTGGAAGATTTGCTGGTTTATCCCAGGATGTTTCTGTTGCGCGCCGTCGCTTTAAGATGTTTCTCTGTTCATATTTTGTCTGTTGCGGATGCACCCGACTCAAGCGCCGCATGGCTCACAGGGCTATACCAAATAAATGAAACTTGACAAGAGGCTGGTGAGGAGTGTGTGGTTGATCGTGGTCACGGTGGAACCGAGTGAAGCAGCGTTCTCCATCGCAAGGCCCCGCGGGTCACTGGCGGTCCCTGGTGGCCTTTAGTGCGGCCCCCGACAACACACAACGCGTGAAAACATCCCCCACCACCATCATCATCATCGTGCTGCTGTCACAACCCCCCAATGGCTTCAAACGTGTGGCGGCCCTCACACTGATGGTGTCTTATCGGCGAAAGTCAAGGACGCCGGCGTAAATGAACACTTAATTGTTTCGAAGCTGTACGCTACCGCGAAGCTATGCTGTACTTTGTAGGCATTAAATAAACATCAACTCACAAGTTTTTTAAAACAAAAATCATTATTTGGTGATGCTTCGCTGGCAGTGGTCCACAGGCACAATATACAAACTCGGAACACACTCGTCAACAAACGCCGTGGCCTCAAAAGAAAAAAAACCAATCGCCGACGTTTCGGGCAGTGGGCCTTCCTTTCACAGTGCATTCAACACTTCAATAGGCGGTTCATAAAACGAGCTGCACCGATGTTTACAACTATGAAACGTGACAATCATTTTATTTGCGATACATTATTCGATGGCCTCGGGAAACGGAAAACGAAACCTTGGATTCATTTTTTTTAAAAAAAATAAGACTTCAGAAGTAAAGACGCCGCAACATCGTACAGTGCCGAGAGCCTCCGGTACAGGGCCGCGAGCGTCGTTATAAAACGTTATCGTTTAAAGCGAAACTAAATCGCGCGTTGGCAACAACGAAGCGTGTACTCACCGCCTGCACGTCCAACTCCACCGTGCATTTGAACAACTTTCGCGGCATCTTCGCGGTTTAAATTATTTTTTGTGCCTCAGAAAAAAACTAAAATTCAAAGTCGCGCCTCCGCCAAGCGGCGCTCCTCCATGGGGGCCGCGTCCCGGAACTAACGACGCTCGTCTCCATGGCGACAGCCAATCACGGTTGCCTGGGGCGATCGGACAGCCAATCGGGGCGCGCCGCGGGCGTCTCTGCGGTGACAGCCAACTGGGGGGGGGGCGTGTCATCGAGCGTGGCCGCGGCAAGGGCCAATCAGCGCGCGCCCCCACCCCCTACACCCCCCCACCCCCTACACCCCCCCACCCCCTACACCCCCCCCCCACTCGTATCTCCATGGTGACGGATGTCTTAAAGGGACCGTACACGTGGTTTGTGCTGGGAGGGATGCGGGATAACGCCCTACATTCAATATTATGTAGTGAACTGGCTCCCGTCATAGGAATGTGGAATTGTCGTCGCTGGCTAAGGGTCCGCAGCGCAGATGAGCACTGCGAGGAGACTCGACCTTGCCTTTGACAGCTGCCATAGTTATTCAAACTTTTAGTTGGTCTGTGATTTGACATTTTCTGACACGCTGGGATGGTGATGGTTCGTTAAGTGTATTGTACGTTGTCAATCAAACCTCATGGTAATATTTGATGATGCTGCTGCGTTGGCAATGGTGCACAAGCACAATTAACAAACTCCACGCATTCGTTAATGACACTGTGGCCTTAAAAGTACATATATATATCTTATTTCGCCGATTATATATTTCTAGAGACATTTAAATATAGTTCTCCTTCTAGGGTAGTGTCACTGACGAATTCGTTGAACTTTCCACAGTCTCTCAAACAGCAATCGCCTTCAAAATGACACTGTATGCAACAAAGCCGTAGCCATGGAGTCAACATTGTGGGGGACCAAATCTTCCAGGGGTACCCCCCCCCCCAAACAATATAAATTTGAAAACGAATTTCCTGCCTAAAATATAAAAAATATCACTAATACATAGGATGGACTTTTTCTATTTTTTTTACAATAATGTCTAATAGTGTATTGTATTACATTGCTCTGTTGTTTTCCTTGTCTTGTTTCATTGTATGTAATAGGGGTTAATAAAGTACAACCATAACCACAATCATATAAACATAAATCTATTTTATTGCAATATATTGGCGGGGGACGTTTTGAGCATATTTGAATATGGGGGGGGGGGGGATGTGTCCCCCTCAATATATTATAATTACGGCCTTGGTATGCAATAACAAAAACATCGAGGACCACTTTGAAATTGGGACTGGCGTTGCTTAATTTGTTGAACTGTCCAAGGAACAACTCGCACACCACGTAAATGGTCACACACTCCATGATGTGCAACCCACATGGACAGTAGATGGCAGTCTGATCACCAGTATATTCCTGTGCAAGTGCTTCGCCTTCACGCTGAATGTCTTCCCATCCGCAGCGGCTACGCCGAGTGTCGGCAACCTGGGGCTCCGGAGCTCGCATGCGGTGGCTCTTTAAGCACAGCAGTGGCGGCTCTTGAAATTCGAAAAAAGTGGCTCTTCTTGTTATATTGGTTGCCGACCTGTGACCTTGGAAGTCAAGTTCACCATGGATGTCCAGTTCACCATGGAAGTCCAGTTTACAGTGGAAGTCCAGTTCACCATGGAAGTCACATTTACCATGGACGTCCAGTTCACCATGGAAGTTCAGTTTACCATGGAAGTCCAGTTCACCATGGAAGTCCAGTTCACCATGGAAGTCCAGTTCACCATGGACGTCCAGTTTACCATGGAAGTCCAGTTCACCATGGAAGTCCAGTTTACCATGGACGTCCAGTTCACCATGGAAATAGAGTTCACCATGGACGTCCAGTTCACCATGGAAGTCCAGTTCACCATGGACGTCCAGTTTACCATGGAAGTCCAGTTCACCATGGAAGTCCAGTTCACCATGGACGTCCAGTTCACCATGGAAGTCCAGTTCACCATGGACGTCCAGTTCACCATGGAAGTCCAGTTCACCATGGACGTCCAGTTCACCATGGAAGTCCAGTTCACCATGGACGTCCAGTTCACCATGGAAGTCCAGTTCACCATGGAAGTCCAGTTCACCATGGAAATCCAGTTCACCATGGACGTCCAGTTTGCCATGGGCAGGCGTCGGCAACCTGCGGCTGGAGCCGCATGCTGCTCACTAAGGACTGTTTCATGACGTTATCTATTAAGGACCACCGTCTCGTATTCACCACACAGTGCACTGCCGCTCTTGAGATATTGAGGAGGGGGGGGGGGGTGTTTACTGAATTCGAAAAAAATGCCTCTTCTTGTTATTTTGGTTGCCGACCCCTGGGCTAAGCAAGCTTGCCAACAAACCCTTCCCCCCGCGGTACCAGTTTTACGCAGATGATCAACAACAAACTCCATGGCACCTGCGCACACGATCTCATTTCAATCGTGCTCTCGGGACGCGTTCCATCCTTTGGCTGCCACTCCGTTATTAATATTGACCATCGGCGATCACCCCGTCTAGCGAAGCGCCCAGTGACTTTCCTTAATAGCTGACATTATTAGTACTCGCACCTTAATGTCCTCTTAATCTATTATTTTCCCTCTGTCCATCCCTCGGTGTAATTCCAGTCACGCGTCTCTCCATGCTTCTTTGAGCAGTTGTTGTTGTTTCTCTGTGTATGGTTCGTTAATGACCGTGTTATGAAAGCTAATCGTACCGTTTCGTGATAATTCTTGAGAACATATTTTACGAAAAATAAGCTCGGGTTCGGTTAAAAAGGGTTTAATAATCAGCTTGCCAGATGTCTTGGAAGAGGTGGTAGTCCCCACACTTTACCCCACCACACACACCTGCTGATAGAAGAGGTGTCAGTCCCCACACTTTACCCCATCACACACACCTGCTGATGGAAGAGGTGTCAGCACCCACACTTCACCCCACCACACACACCTGCTGATGGAAGAGGTGTCAGTCCCCACACTTTATCCCACCACACACAGACCTGATGATGGAAGAGGTGTCAGTCCCCACACTTTACCCACCACACACACCTGCTGATGGAAGAGGTGGCAGTCCCCACACTTTACCCCACCACACAGACCTGATGATGGAAGAGGTGTCAGTCCCCACACTTTACCCACCACACACACCTGCTGATGGAAGAGGTGTCAGTCCCCACACTTTAACCCACCACGCACACTTGATGATGGAAGAGGTGTCAGCACCCACACTTTACCCCACCACACACACCTGCTGATGGAAGAGGTGTCAGCACCCACACTTTACCCCACCACACACACACCTGCTGATGGAAGAGGTGTCAGCACCCACACTTTACCCCACCACACAGACCTGATGATGAAGAGGTGTCAGCACCCACACTTTACCCCACCACACAGACCTGATGATGGAAGAGGTGTCAGCACCCACACTTTACCCCACCACACAGACCTGATGATGAAGAGGTGTCAGCACCCACACTTTACCCCACCACACAGACCTGATGATGGAAGAGGTGTCAGCACCCACACTTTACCCCACCACACAGACCTGATGATGAAGAGGTGTTAGTCCCCACACTTTATCCCACCACACAGACCTGATGATGGATGAGGTGTCAGTCCCCACAATTTACCCCACCACACAGACATGATGATGGAAGAGGTGTCAGTCCCCACACTTTACCCCACCACACACACCTGCTGATGAAGAGGTGTCAGCACCCACACTTTACCCCACCACACACACCTGCTGATGGATGAGGTGGCAGTCCCCACACTTTACCCCACCACACAGACCTGATGATGGATGAGGTGTCAGCACCCACACTTTATCCCACCACACAGACCTGATGATGGAAGAGGTGTCAGTCCCCACACTTTACCCACCACACACACTTGATGATGGAAGAGGTGTCAGCACCCACACTTTACCCCACCACACACACCTGATGATGGATGAGGTGGCAGTCCCCACACTTTACCCCACCACATACACCTGATGATGAAGAGGTGTCAGTCCCCACACTTTACCCACCACACACACCTGCTGATGGAAGAGGTGTCAGTCCCCACACTTTACCCCACCACACACACCTGATGATGGATGAGGTGGCAGTCCCCACACTTTACCCCACCACACAGACCTGATGATGGAAGAGGTGTCAGTCCCCACACTTTACCCCACCACACACACCTGCTGATGAAGAGGTGTCAGCACCCACACTTTACCCCACCACACAGACCTGATGATGGATGAGGTGGCAGTCCCCACACTTTACCCCACCACACACACCTGCTGATGAAGAGGTGTCAGCACCCACACTTTACCCCACCACACAGATCTGCTGATGAAGAGGTGTTAGTCCCCACACTTTACCCCACCACACACACCTGATGATGGATGAGGTGGCAGTCCCCACAATTTACCCCACCACACACACCTGATGATGAAGAGGTGTCAGCACCCACACTTTACCCCACCACACAGACCTGATGATGGAAGAGGTGTCAGTCCCCACACTTTACCCCACCACACACACCTGCTGATGAAGAGGTGTCAGCACCCACACTTTACCCCACCACACAGACCTGATGATGGATGAGGTGGCATTCCCCACAATTTACCCCACCACACAGACCTGATGATGCACTGGCTGTGGTGAACCCATTCACACCGCTGGGTGGACAATTACTGAGGGTGCGTGCGTTGATTTACGAAACTTGGCCATTTATTTTCAAACTTCGGCGCCTGGAGATCAATCCGACTACGACGTCAAATGTGCCTGACCATTACACACATTGCAGCGTCCCCTCCTCTAGGTAGACTTGGCCTAAACTCTGAATTTAGTACAGACATAAACATCAACCATGTGGAGGGGTCGTGGCCACACCAGCAGGGCTGACTTGCCCTGCTGATCGAAAAGCCTTAGTAAGTTAAGTGTGTGTGCGCACACAGACAACGATGAAGATCCCCCCGTATAGTCTCAACAGACTGTTGGGGCAAGTGCTGTTAGCGAGTAGCAGCAACGCCTTTGAAAGCCGGAACGGTACGCAGGGCGGTGGGTAGCCAGTACCACGCCCGACCGCCTTTGTCTCCCCAGTTTCGATGTTTACACACCGCGCAGATTATAATCGGGAATCGAACTCGGGTTCGCCGGATTCG